CAGCCATATCCTATTTAAAAAAACAAACCAAGCAACGTGACAAGGCACACTGTGGCTGTCGCGCAATCACCCCAACACACACTGGTTGACTCGTGCCTGGAATGCAGAGCCAGGCGTTCAGAAAGGCGCATGGGAGGCAGATCGGCTGCGTGAGTTGTGGTCTGCACCACGTGCGGGGCGCGTTCAGCTGCACAGTGCGGCCCGCCCCCAGGAGATGCCCAGCACCCGTGGGGCTCCGCAGACCCCAGCACCAGCCTACAGCCCTACCGACTACAGGTGCAAGTGTTCATTCGCTTGTCTTCAAGTGATAAAATCCTCCACGTCTTCTGCGTGGGTGCCAGAAGCGAAGGTCCTCAAACTCTCGTCCCCCAGGAGGCCGTGCAGCACCTGTTCACTGTGGAGCCAAAGCTGACGGTAACCCCGGCACCGGTGGCAAGAAGTGTAGCAGCCCAAGGCAGCGCAGGACGACTGAACCCCAGAAACGCCCCTGCTGGGGCTCCCGCGTCTGAGGCACCTGCAGGTACACTACTAGGCAAATGGACCCGGAACATCCCAGCGCGCCTGGGCAGGCACCAGAGAGACACCCTGAGCTTACCTGGCCTGACACCTCCCTCGGGAAGACCTGTGAACTGAGCCCAAGGGCTGGTACTCGTACACTTGTTCACCAGGTAAGCGAGAGTAGAAGAATGTCTGATGTGCAGTGGAACCTTGTACAGAACAACAGCTTTGAGAAAGAAAGAAAGAAAAAGGGCCAGGGACATAGCTCAGTGGCACAAGCGCAAGCCTGGCAAGCACAAGGTCCTGAGTTCGATTCCCAGTACAGAAAATAAATTCTAGGCAAACGCCACCACCCATCAGGACTCCTTTGTCCCTTCACCTCCCCCGCGGCCAGCTGCAGGGAGCCCAGTATCAGGGGAAGTGCTCACCAAAGTCAGCCCCGCCTGGCGATGCCTGCTCCCCCAACCTGGCTGCGGAGCTACCGAGAATCTGGCACAGAAACAACGATCTGCCTCCGACCTACCACCCCCTGGCCTGCCTCTGTCCTCCACCTGCTCCCACACTAAAACACGTATTAGATGGCCCAGGCAGTTACTTGCTCCTAGGTGCATGCACACACAACATTTGTTAAGTGGCCCCTGTATGCTAGCACCTTTCCCTCCCGGCCTGATCGTTCTACGCGATTGTCCCTGCAGGGACTCCCTGACACTCAGACCTGTCTTCCAGTTGCCAATGGCTGGTATGGTTTGTGTCTAGATGTCCCCTCAAAGCCCCATGCAGTCAAGGGGTGCAGGACTTTCCAAGGTTCCTGAATCTAGAGTTTGTGAATGGCTCATTGTCTACTTGGGATTGGGGGTCTGAGTGCTACACCCGACCTAGGGCAGGTAGCCTGCAAACAATATGAGGGAGGAAATGATGGAGACCACTACAAAGTGGCTCTGAGCAGGATTTAATATTAGCCAACTGGCTTTCCATGTTTACCTGGGAGCTGTGTGAAACTTAGGTACCTTGTTGGGGTATGGGCAGTAAGTGAACTGTCACCGCTGAGGCCCGTATTGGCCTGTGACACTGTGATGCCTCAAAGGACAGGATACGGCCACAGCTGAGGACGCCTGGCTCCAACCCCCATTTTACTACAAGGAGGCTGGAGCTGCAGGCTTCACACTCCTACAATAAATACCAACCTAAGATAAGGTAGTTCTGATTGACATAATCTACTACTTGGGAAAATTCTCCCAAGGTCCTGCTAGATTCCCACGTTTTCTTGAGTATCCCCTTCCTTTGTAAACCAAGTAAATATAGATTGTCCAGAGAAATCTTGGTCTAAACCCAGAGAATACTGAATGCTGTAAGAGAGGTAGACCCTCCTGGAGCCCTAAAATAATTTCTATTGTCTCATTTATTTAAGTCTTCACAGTCCACTTGCTTGGGTGGTTGTGGGCCTGATGAGCCCAAAATAACTAAGGTTATTTAACCAGATAAGGAAAGGCTTGTTCCCCCCATTTTGATCTTGTTGCTTTTGCTTTCTTCTGCCACCATGAACTGTTGCCCTCTGCCATGCAACCCTGCGTTGGAGCCTGCTGATTATGAACTGAAACCTCCACAAACTGAGCTAAACAAACCTTTCCTTCCTTAATTTGGTGTTGTATAGTTTCCCTCAGTAATAAGAGAAAAGTAACAGAATACGGTACCAGAGAAGTGGGGTCTATACTTGTGACTATACTTGATCGTGTGGCTTAAGAGCCTTTGGGAATGGCTTGTGGGAAGAGTTTGGAAAGGTTCAGAGATGTCACCTGAAGGAATAGAGCTGGAATGTCTTAGGCTGTTCTGTATAGGAGATTCTGGTCAGACCTCAGAAGACCAGAAAAGTGGTAAAGACCAGGCTAGGAAGCTTTTTGTTGGAAAGGAATGCTTTGGCGGATGGACTCCACAGCATATGTGTTACAGCTGGGCAGAAAGTTTATCTGCATTTTGCTCATGCCCAGAGACTTTGCCTGAGACTGAGATTAAGGATGGAGGAGAAACCAATCTTATAAAAGAAATTTCAAGGCAGTCAAATGTTGAGGCACTGGCATGGCTACTACTGGGGGCTTTTAGCCAGATTTATGTTGAGAATCAAGAGCAGAAAGCCCAGCAGGATGATGTGAGTTTGGCCAGTAATGCTGTAGACTACGAAGACAGGGCAGCAATCTTGATCTTGATACAAAAGATGGCCTGATGACATCACAAGAAGCAGCTGAACTCCATCCTTTGCAGCCTAAAAATTCCACAAGTGAAAGACTTTGCTTTGAGAAGAAAGCTGCAGAACACCATGTTTCAGAATGGCGGTAGCCTAGAGAATTTGTTACTTGGAACTGGATTCAGGGTGTCAGTGATCCATGCACTTGATCCCTACAGCTAAGACAGAAGGAAGCCTGGCTACTGCTCCAGCTGGCAGAACTTGGCATCATCCATGTGGCCCTGGTTTTAGGAGCATGGAGAATGCAAGAGTTGTGGGGTTAAAAAGGCTTCCACCCCTATTTCAGAAGGCCCGGGAGGCCAGGCCCTGAGAAGGCAGTGTGTGAAGCTGTGATTGTGAAGACAAAGATGGTATTGCAGACCACTGAGGTTTGGAAAATTCCGTAATGTATATCCCCTGAGGAAAGCTGCAAAGAGGGAGCAAAGCAGGCCTAAGAGAGACGCTATGGGAGATACAACCGCTGGAAGCACCATGGGAGTGGAGGCACCCAAGCTCTTTAGACCTCACAATGTGCTACAGATTGCTTCAGATGCTGGATGGAGAACTACGGGACTTAACGTTTGCTCTGCTGGATTTTGGACTTGCTTTGTTCCCAGTCTTTCGTATCCTCATTTGTTTGTAACTTTTGGAATGGAAATGTCTATCTTGTTCCACTGAATGTGGTAAGTGTTTAACTTTTCATTTGTATAGGGGTCAAAGCTAAGTTTGCCTTACATCTTGAAGACTTGGGACTTGGACTTTTCAGCAATGCTGAAATTGTTAGGACTTTGGCAACTCTTTCAGATGGACTAAATATCTTTTGCATAGAGGGATGTGAATGAGTCTGTGTGAGGCCAGGGGCAGAATGCTATGGTTTGTGTCTGGATGTCCTCACAAAGCTTCATGCAGTCAAGGGGGTTAGGCTTTTCCAACGTGGCTGAATCTAGAGTTTGTGATTGGTTCATTTTCTAGTGCTGGGATTGGAGGTATGAATGCTATACCTGACGTAGGGCAGGTAGCCTGCATACAATAGTAAGGAAAGAAAGGCTGGTTTCCCCCTTTTGTTCTTGTGGCTTTTGCTGTCTTTCACTGCCATGAACTGCTGCCCCTCTGCCATGCCATCCTGCCTTGCAGTTGATTATGAACTGAAACCTCCACAAACTAAATAAATCTTTCCTTGCTTAATGTTTGGTGTTGCGTATTTTCTCTCAGCAATGAAAGAAAAGTAACTAAGACAATGGCCACGGGCAAGCTTGGCATGACCAAACCTGTGTGCCTGCCTGTTTCCAGTTCCAGATGCCCAGCTCAGGAGCCTGGGACCCTTCCTGGCTTCCTCCCCATCCCCACCCCACTTCAGATGCAGCAGCGATTCCTCACAAAGACAGACAGGAAAGCCACCTACCCTTTGCGGTCACTACAGCCACCACTGGGCCGGTCCCAACAGGCTCTCCACCTCACACCACTGGCAGCAGCCCCAGTGAAACACAGCCGCATTGGCCCTCTGCTCAAATGCCCCAAGCCCTGACTCTGCAGGAGTGCAGCAGGCTCAGCCCAGCCATCCTCTCCTGTGAGGCCAGTGGGCTCTTGCCTGGCAGGATCTCAGGGATACACAGCCTTCTCTCGGCACTTGGCTCTGCTCCCTCAGGGACCTTTGCCTGCCCAGAGGAAGGCTGCTCCTGAGGTTGGGGCGGGCTCCCTCCCTCTCTCCCTGCTTCCCTCCAGGTCCTCACAGGCACCGGGTCCTCAGGAAGCCCTCCTCGGCTAGCACGGAGGAGGCATCACCCTGCCCCTGCCCCTCTGCAGGCAGATTTCCTTGTGTTTGTGGGGTGATTAGTTTGGGGAGGTCTTCTGTCCCTAGCCAGAGTGCTCTAAGATGTTACTGTCCCTGCACTACGTTGCTGAGCAGCCTGCCACACACACACACACACACACACACACACGCACGCACGCACACACACACACACGCACACACACGCACACGCACACACACGCACACACACACACACACACACACACACCCCCAGAGTGGGGATGGGCACCAGCAGAGGACGCTCAGGCAAGCCTGAGTTTCAGTTACAGAGGGAGCAGTTAAGAGGCTGCCAAGTGTCATTTTTAATCGGCAGCAATTCCAATTCAACACCAAATCTAATGGTGAGGGCCCTTCTGTACCTCTCTGCTAGCGGTGTCACTGGGACTCGAGCTACGCTCATGTCCAGGGAAGCAGGGCTCTTCTCTCTAGCTAGCGTTTCTTTATCTTGACACAGGAATAATGCCAAGGGCCAGGTTTTTCTCAACACAACAGTGTGCATGGCTTACTTTTATTTTTTATTATAAAAACACATACAAGAGTTTAAGAAATGATGAATATAAGACCAATCAGAATCACGGTGAGTTATTAAACCCATTTCTATGTACAAATACTAAAATTCCGAAAGTGGAATATCACCCCATGTGAGACACATCGTAGCACGGTCCTATGTACATGGCACACAGCGCCCGCGGGCACCCTCCCTGGTGGCTCGGAGACAGGCTGCTGCTGACCACGAGTCCCCAAGAGAGCGTCTTCGGCCTTGCTGTCCGTTCCTGACAGATAGTTAAATATTTTTAAGGGACTTTAGCGATACGAAGAAAAAGCATTAAATGAGTTTCTGCTAATGGCTCTCAGTGTTTTACTCTGGTAGATTATGCACTAATCTTGAGAAAAGCTTTTGTAGCCCACTTCCAGCTAACATAGTGGAAGACTCTGCTAGTTTTCTTTGTGGCCAATTTGTCTTTATCGAGATACTCATTTCAGCAAAACGTCTAAAAATAGCTCAGGAACAAAATCATGTTCTTACATTGTTAAGTTCATTATAAAATGCCACTCAATTTTAAAAAGCCACTAAAAGGACACTTTCTGCAGCAAAAAAGGGCTAAGTTCAAGTTTCCGTTTGACCAAGACACAATAATACATCCACATGTCACATGATCACAACAGCCAGAAGTCAAATGAGCACTTCCACTTAGGAGGAGATGCTTACGGAGCATCCCTTGCTCCTCCGTCCCCCAGCCTGACGGAGCAGTGAGGAGGGGCCCGGCACACGGCATCGCGCGTCTCTCCTCCGTCTGGAAACCCGCTAGTCCACCGGCGTCGGGACGTGTCAAGGCACTTGTCTTGCTGCAGTGGCATCCGCTCACCTGAGCGCCACGGTCCCCAGGGTGCCGACCTCTTCCAGGCAGCTGACGACTGCAGCGGGGACGCAGTGGGAGGTCTTTCTCCGCCAGGCTTCCAGGGTCTTCAGGGTCTCCTCTGGGTTGCTGGGGCTCAAGTCACACAGAGCGTACACAGCTGCTAGCTGGATGCCCCATGGGATATCTGAGAAGAAATTCCAATCAATGGTAACGTAAGAAAATACCTCGTATTCCAAGTGTCAATGGTACAAGTTATAGCAATACAAACTGTACAGACACAGAACACTTTTGGTCAGAAATAAAAATTAAATGTAAAAGAAAAATCTCACAATAAAAAACAAAACATTCAAGAGCCATCCACAACACAGTGGGAAAGTAAAAAAGTGGACTGTCACCCTCTGGAGCTCCCGGGGCCGCCAAGGATCTGGCCACAGCGCCACTGCCTGGGCATCTCCGGATGCACATGGTACCCCAGTGAGGTCCAAGAGCATGACGCCACAACGGGCAGTGGGATATGAGCAGGAGGGTCGGAAACAGACTTTGGACAGGAAAACCCCCAGGAAAGGAGACGAAGGGACGCCCTATCCTTGTGCCACACTTTCACCTCTCAGATCACGGTGTGGGATTCTAGGCAGAACCACCACACTGTATTATTCCCGTCCTCCTGTAGTAAGCATTCATTTAGGAGTTATTGGATTAAAACCTAGTTAAAGTGTAATTTGTTTACTATTCACCACACGTTTCGGTTTCCTGCCAGTGCTGCACTGCCTAACAAGGCAGACCTATACTGACGAACATCCCTCGTCCATCGTGGGGCCAGAGGGTTTCAGGTTTCTTCTGGGTTCTGGAACACTTGCATCGGCGTGAGGTATTCTAGGGATGTGAGTCGGTTCCAACACAAAATTTACATGTACCCCTTATCCGCCTAACCTGAAGGTGGTTTTATGCATTTTTAACAATTTTGTTCATGAAGTAGTTTCACGGTGTGAAAATTTCCACTTTGTGGGGTCAAGTTAATGCTTAAAGCAGTGCCGATTCTAGAGTGCTTCCGAGTGCAGCCTTTGGGAGCAGGACGCTCCACCCGCATTTAAAGTAAACAGCAGCAGGATGAAGAAGCCCACACACTGCCACATTAGCGCCAAACACATCTGCGGAACTGAGTGCTCCCAGCCCTCCCCCAGCCTGCAGCGCAGGGGAAGCAGAGAGCAAGGCCGAGGACGCTGCAAACGGTAACGCAAGAGCCGTGCAAGTGGCAAAAGCCCCAACCTGTTAATTAGCACAGCCGTGCGGCCCAGTTCAAAGAGCTCTCTCTGCAGCGAAGCGGACCTGGACCGACAGGGCTGGGAAGGCCCTTCCTCGCTCTGCACCTGGTGACCGTTTTCCCCCTGGGCTTCAGTGCAGGACGTAAGGAAAGCATCATCCAACTCCAAGGCGGACCCGGCATCCGTGCCGAGCTGTGGCAGTGCCATGCGGTCCTAACAGACAGCCACCGAGCGGGGCTCCTCTTCCACTCACAGGGCCCTGCCCAGCCAGCGACAGACAGGGGCCCGCGTGTGTCGGCACGACAAGCCCCGGGCGCCGTGCTCTCACACATCTGGACTCTGGGCTGGGCGGGGGAGGACACTATTTCCACAGAGGAGCAGGGCACAACCGAGGCAGTGACCCTGCAGTCTGGAAGGACCGCAGGAAATGAAAGCACCTTCGTGCTCTCTGTGAGCTCAGCACAGCACGCTGAAGACACAGCCCCTACTAGGGCAAGACCATTTCGGGTGCCACACGGTGCTCAAGACGCCACTTCACACGTTTCTGATGAGCTATTCAACTCTCTTATTCCTTGCCTGAAGCCACAGTCACCACTAACGGTTACTCTGAGTTAAGCTTCTTCCACGAGAGAGTAGGATACGTAATTACGCACTATGCAGAACATACACGAGGACAGAACCCCACCATGCAGATCCGGTCCCAAGGCATCCAGCGTCCCAGTCCCATGCCAACTTGAGCATGTGGGAATGCTGATTCTCCCACAGGCAGCACGGCCTTCCTGTGACCTGGGACAGGCAGGACACAGCTCCAGCAGATGGCCTTGTGGGGCGTCCAGCCTAAGCCCACAGCACAGGGACAGTACCTGGGGGCAAGGCCCAGCCATGGGGGCAGGAGAGACTTCCTCCTCAGAGAAGCACTGCCCAGCAGGGCTCATTATGCGAATAAGCAGGCCATGTGAATAACCAGACCCCATGCACACGTGCGCACACACACACAATATGCAGGGAGAGAAGCACAGAACCCGGCACCCAGTAAAGATGTAAAAACAGTTTAAACGGCAAGTGAAAGCAATTTAATAAGCAAGACTTTTACCTTCATCCTGAGCATGCTGTATGAACATCCCAATAACTGAACTGATATTTTTCACAGTAGTTGGAAATCCTTCCTTTAAACCCAACTGGCCCAGGCGACCTTGAGGAAACAAAATGAAGTGTAAAGTCTTCAGTGAAATGTTGGTTAACTTTTCACAGAAATTTTAAATTTGTGTTTTCCCCCTTATAACATTAAACCTTAACATCCTGAGGTCAAAGTGGGTACCGTTAAGTGAAAGCAGCTGAAACAGTGAAACATCGAGACTTAACAAAGCGGTTTGTCTTCCGGGAGTCACCACAACGCTCATCGTCTCTTCCTGCATTCACACACAGGCAACGCGACCCAGGCTCTCCCGGCCAGGCTGCGGCCTGAGAAACGGCTTCGACGGGTGGGATGGGAAACGCTCCTGACGGAGGTGAGAGCAGAGGTCACTCCCACCAACACGCTCCTTGGAAACTGCCGTCACGTGCGCCCCAGTGTGAGCGCCCACAGGGATGGGGACGGGGGAAGGTGACTGCAGATCCAGCCCCGCGGCCTAACACACCGGGTTGAGGCGGGGGGATCTCACAATGAGGCCGCTCTTCAGCTCGCGCTGCCCGCAGCTCAAAAACCCCAGCATCTCAGCAGGGCGCAAGCAGCAGTCAGAATCGCCCTCCTGAGAGCTGGCCCTGGAGCGCAAAACTCAGGGACAGTCAACAGTCAACTCAGAAATGCGCACAGCCCTCCCTGCACACCGGGGCACAGGCCTCCGAGAAGAAAAGCACGTGTGCATGTGTGGGTTGTACGCAACAAAACTTGGGTATCTGGACAGCGCAGACACGTTCTCAGCAAGGAGCAACGAGAGCTGTGACTCCAGGAAAGTCACCACTGCAGGTAAGGGCAACACTTGAGCCCTTAGCAAAGCCAGAATCTTGGGGCCACTTCTGCCAGCTGCTGAGCGTGACAGCTCTCCTCCAGGAGACTCATCTGAGAAGAGACTGGTGCTGGGAAGCGTGGGTTCGCTCAGATTGCTGCAATTTGAAGATGCGTATGGATCATTTATTTCCAACTAAACAACGTAGGTTAAAAATTCATCCTGAGGCAAATGGATCCTGCTCCGTGCAAGCTAGACCAGTGGACTTTAATAAAACAGTATGAAGAGTTCACTGATAAGGCTTAAGGTTTCACACTGCAACTAACCTTCAAGAAATTATTACTTTCACCTGGGCCACGTGGCAGGACATTCATCTCAAAAAAAATTACTGCTCATTTTATTGTATAGCACTGTCCTTAGCTCTGAGAACGAGGAGAATCTATGACTCATTCAAAGTATTTCTGTGTACTAGGGATTGAACCCAGGGCCTCGGCATTAACATACATCCCCAGCTCTTTTTGATTTCTTTCTCTAGACAGGGTCTTGCTGTGTAGTTCAGGCTGGCCTCAAACTTTCAGCAATCCTCCGGCCTCAGCCTCCTGAGTGCTGGTATTACAGGCGTGCGCCACTGCACCCAGCTCACTCAAAGTTTAATGGTGATTTTAATTGGGGAAGAATGAAAATCTGCGTGGGATGTGGGACAGTATCTTGATTTTAGATACCCATGAGACTATCCCTACCAACTATGTACTCTGCTGTGCATGGTACTGGTATTAGCATCTGGAAGCAAGAGGACAATGAAGAAGCAGATGTACCGACGTGGCAAATCTTGATCGCTGATAAAGGCGGATACAACCTAGTGTGTAAGGACTGAGCGTGAATAAGGAGGGAGAGGCACACGGCACCTGCTCTGCCGGCTGCACAACCAGGCATCACGATTCCCCCGCCAAGACAGCACAGCAGGAGTGAAGCAACTCACCAATCAGTCTCAGGACGGATGCTACAATCACATCGGGAGTATACGCAACGTTCGCATGTCCTTTCCTGTATTTTATCCACTTATCCATCACAGGCCACAGTTCCTTACTGTAAAACAACAACATGAAAGGTTTGTGGGCGTCAGTACTCCAATACCTGCCGCTGTTCATGGGCCACAGACAGAGAGTGAACAGAGTGAGCGCCGACAGCTGCCAGTTTACCCTGAAGGAGAGCAGACAACCCCGGAAGGACACACCCTGCCTACTCAGGGTGTCTGTGCCCGCACTGACTTAAAAGGAGCTGCAAATGCCCAGCCACCCTCGAATCTTTATTCTGTTCTCTTTTTATGGTATCCCAAAGCACAGCACAGGAAATGGGGAGTCTGGATTTCCCAGGTGCTAAGGCAGCCTGAGACCAGAAGCCCACAGAGAACTGGGAAGTTCTCAGAGAAAGCAAGCCATGTGTGCAGGAAGAGCTAAGCTGAAGGGCAACGGTATCACAGATGCAAGCACACTGCAGGTGGATTAAAGGAACTTTCCCTGGCCTGAACACAGCGTAGCTACGCCCTTCTTGCTCTTTCTGACAGGAAGGTCCTGAGTTCTTGCTTGGTTTCCTAACGTATCATCAGAAAAGACAGATGCACATAAAAGTGGAACACAGAAACTGCTCCAAACAACGCCATCTCAGAGAGCTCTCACACCTCTGGTTTTGGCTGTTCTTTCCAGATACGCCTGCCTCACAGCATGGTGGGTGCAGCGCCTGACCGCTGAGGGGGAAGGCAGGCTCTGGAGTCTCCCAGCAGATTCCAGTGGTCCGTGCAGTCCCCACCGCTAGCGGGAGGACCATGGACAGAGCACGCTGACAGCTCCTTGCTCTGGCCCCTGGTCCGTGAGGGAGAGAAGGGCCTTGCCTTGTGGACTCCTGTACGGAGCGGGGGAGAGGAGGCCACATAAACCGTCTGTCCTCACACAGGCACTGACGCATGGCTTGGCCACTTTCTCAGGAACTGCGAGACACTTCTCCACGCTGACACATGCAAGTCTGTTTAGAGCTATGCATCTGAATACAGCCAAATCCCATTCTGTGGCTGGACTACAACTCAGCCCCTGTGGCGCGACCTGTAGATGCGCAGCCTTTCCTAGCACTGGAGGAAGAGAGGAAGGAAAGAGCATCCTCGTAAGACAGTCCTTGCAACGGTCATTCCCACAGGAGGCGTCCTCAGGACTCCGAGAGCATGGGTTACAACCCTTTGGGGAATGTCCCCGATCTCATAAACTCCCTTCAGCCAGCCTTTCTCAGCTAGGGCTCCATGGGAACGCAAAGACCTATGAAGTGTCTGCGTGGCGGTGCGCTCCATTCTCTCACAGATGGCAGGGGCATGGCCAGAAGGACAGAGCGTCGAGAAAAGCCAGCTCAGCGGACACAGTGCCTGCCTGGAACATCAGGCTTAGCTCTCTCTTGGGTGAGGAGCTGTAATTCTGAATGTTTCTGTTCCTTTGGACTTTCACAGCACTTGCATTGTAAGGTAAAGACTACAGTACATCCAACACGCACTCGCGGATGCTGACGATATGCTAGTGAGCCCTCCCTGCGAGCCGTTTCCACTGGGAAGAGACAGTCACAGAGCGCAGTGAGAAGTACGGAGGACACTACAGAAAGCTCAAGCAAAGGGAAGTGACAGCCACTCCATCAAAATAAAAACGCCTCGGCTGTCTTTATGAAACAACTTTCGAACCACAGACTATCTTACAATTAAATGGAATAACTGTTCTCGGAGTCAGCAAAATAGCCAACCTGATGATGTTATCATGCGTCCAAACCCACTTCTGATGGGAGCAGAGTAGATCGATGGCAAAGATGTATTCCCAAGTGTTATCACTCAGGTCTTCCCCGAATTTCTCACTGGGCTGGAATTCTGTTTTTGGACATAACTGTATGGTCAAAAGCAGCTTAGAAACCATGATGCCAACATCTACAGGAGCATTCTATGGAAGGAAACAATAAATACATTTAAAAAACACAATTCAGAGTCCCAAATCCAGTACATCTGACATAAGTAATCTCAAGGGTTACAGTAAGCATGAGATGAGTCAGCCTTTAACCTGACAAAATAACTTTCTGAAATGGCTGCATTTTGAGTGAGAAACTATTTATCCCAGTCATACTATTAAAGATTATAGAACAGTGAGAGATAGCAGGCAGGATGCTGAATTCACTAAGGTACAAAACAACTTAGCTACAATCCACCTAGGAAGGTAAATCTGTAGCAACTCAAATTAGACAATTATAATGTGACAATAAAAACAAATTAAGCCTTTAAAAGCTTCTTTAAATCCCGTCAGTCTTTGTGACACTGTGGATCAGTCTGCCTTTCCCACATATTCATAAAATTAAATCAGCCATTCCAGCTTCTTTTACATTTGTGTGTATTTATCTTTGTTACTTACCCATATTGTTGTATGCAGTGGTTTAAGTATTCCTTTTTATTGCTGTGGTAACCTGCCATACAGGTGTATAACTGCTGGATGACCACCGCACTTGCTGACAGACATCTGGCTTACTGCTCTTAGGAATGTTTCTATGAATACTGATGTCCAAGTCTTGGCGTGTGAACTTTATTTTGAATAAATATCTAGGAGTAGAACTGCTGGATCCTTTGCTAAAATACGCTTAACTTTATAAGAATCACCTACTTGCCGAAGTGGTTGTGCTATCTCTCACTTGCACCAGCACTCTGGGCAAACTGCAGTGTAAAAGTAATACATTACGTGAAAACGACTTCCACCCTCGATACAGAGCAAAGCCTGGCCTTTGAAACGGGCTTTATTATTTGAAGGGCTCAACATGTTAATGTATAGCTTGTGTGTAAGTAATCTGAAAGAGTCTCAAAGCTTTCTAGCGTCATAAAACCCATAACTAAATCATAGCCCAGAAATATCTACCTGACAAGCCAAACTCAACCAAAAAGGCAAATATTCTCCCCTCAGGGAAGTCAGTAACTCTGTACACCGAGAAGACGCAGAAGTAAATTTAGACATGCAGAGACTCTAATTCAGACTTCAGTTGCTTTAGTTGTTCGTTCTTTGTACATATATAAGGGTATATATTATAGTGTCTGTGAACATGTGATAATGTACAGCGGTACCACAGTTCATGACCTTAATTTGTCCCACCATTCGGGGGACGATGGTCACATTCGTGTTCATGCAGGGAAGATGGCTGTGGTTTTGTGTGTCAACCTGATGTGGAGTTCAAGAACAGAAGCCTTTGTGAACCGAAGCATCACTACACACGTGCTTTATTTATGCTATGAAGAAGCACCGAGAATTTGCTGTTTAAGTTATAATTACACATTATACTATTTTGTATTAGAATTATGATACTAATTACAAATGTTTAGAAGCATGTGAATAATATTTAACTATTTAATGCAACTCACATTCCACATCCTCAGTTAGATTTTTATATTCAAACACTGCTAAGTGCTTACTAGAAAGGTTTTGATAATTATACTTGAAGGTCAAGTTTGATGTATTTTTGAGGTATATATGCTAAGTTTATGATTATCTTAAAAAAAAGACAACTATATTACTGAAGTTTATAAATAAGACTGATCATTTAGGAGATGTTAACTTCTTAAATACGAACTAAGATAACATTAATCCTTGGCCAAAGTGAAGACACTTCTATAACAACTGATTATCGACAAAATAAGAGTCATGCACGTAAAAGCTTTTAAAAGAGGCTTATAACTTTGCAACGTTGTGAGTGAGTAGCAAGTTAAGATGAGTGGTCCTTTCCACATGGAGGATGTCTGCACATTCCATCAGCTCACTGCAGAAGCCTGGGCAGGGAGCACCCGAAGAGCTGGAGCGCTTCCCACACTCCATGCAGCCTGAACACCTCTGGTCTAACCCTGAGACCCATGTGTGGCTGCTCCAAGTTTTTATTCAGAACAGTTTGTTTTTTTTTTTTTTTTTTTTTTTTTTTGGTTTTTCTCCGGTACCGGGAACCGAACTCACGACCTTGCACTTGCCAGGCAGGCGCTTTGCCGCTGAGCTAAATCCCCAGCCCCTATTCAGAACAGTTTGGACGCTGTGATTTAGGGATGCTCAGCACATAAAGTCTAGGCAAGTATCTCTAAAAGCAAAAAACAATGAAATTTGAAATTCCTGGTTGCAAATGTTTTACGTAAGAGCCATCCCCTCTAGGGGGCTGCATGTAGCTGATGCACCCACTGCGAGCCCAGGCCGCGAATGGGCTTCACGCGTGCTACTGTACACCGAGCTCACCCCAGAAGGGGAAGTCTCCTGACTGCTAACGGACTCACTGCTATTTTGAATAGCACCTTGCAGAGGTACATGGGTGTGTCTAGGCAGGTTGCTGAAGAGGTGATTACAGATTTGCTTTTCTATTCACCTAACTCTGGACCACCAGTAGCTCTTTCCTTTTCTGTCTATAAACAAAAGCTTAACAAATATTTACCTAAAATTCCACTGAATGCATAAACTATGAGGATTTTTTTAAAACATTAAAGTAATACATGCTCATTAAAAGAAAAGGAAATAATGAAAGAAAAATCAACCTCTGAAGTAGTAGTAAAGTTTACTACTTACTAAGATCATAAGTAGATTCTCATTAGACAAAAAATTATAAATAAAAGACCACCAATCCAAATACTATGAGGTGTAATTGAAAAATATGTTGAATATTTAAATTTTAAAAATTATTACAGTCAAAGACACACTGCCATTAATTGCCCTCAAAATATCCCCTGTCACTTTGAACACACTCATCTCATTGTTCTTGCCATTTTCAGAAGCAGCTCTAAAAATCCTCCTTCAGGAGTGTCTCTGGCTGCACTGCCATGCATGGCTGCCTTGATGTCCTGAATTGACTCAAAACGTTTAATTTTGCACAGTACCATACCCAGTGACTAAAGTAGAGGAGGACACACTGTAATGGTTTTGCCTTACCTTTCTATCGGATGGCACTAGGCAGCAGGATTCAGTGTATTTTTAATACCTCATGAAAAGACACCAGGCAAGGATTTCCAGAAACACTTCAGAAAGAGGCAACAGCAAGGACGGAGACGTGTGTTCAAAATGAGTGAAGCATTTTGAGGGGGATTAAGGGCAATGTTTTAATGTAAACATTCACCATATATTTTGATCACACTGTCTACTTTCATACATTGGTAATCAAAAAGACAAAATAGTGAAAGGTCACATGAGAGCAAACTACTTAGAACAAATACCGGTTCTGTCAACCAGAAAGAAAAATACAGCATAGGAAATTCAGAAGAAGCTGAACAGGAAGAAATGGGAATCAGCTTTTCACCAAAGTACCTACTGTAGATCAAATGACTTACACCTACTCCACGCCCTTCATCCACAGATACGGAGGTATGGATTTCACCAGTCAAAAGTTAGCAGATGAAACAAACTCTGGGAAGTTAACACAGTCCACAGACCTACATTTCTTCTTGGGATGGCTCATGAATACTTCAAAAAATTCAGAAGCTTGGGCTAAACTCCTAATTTAAAGGATCTAATAGGACAGTGAATATCTCTAAAATGCTTATGAACTAAACCAAACTAAATCCAAAGATAAGTAATAGCGTTTATGCAAGGTCTACAAATACAGTACAGCAGTAGAAGAACTAAGGAAAAATGCTCACCTTCTCCCAGTTGAGAAAGGCTTTCAAACAGCTCAGAACCTCCCCTTTGGCACGCTGCCTGGCAACCAGCTGCATGGCTTTACTAATCACCGACGGAGAGACAAACACCTCATGCCACATGTTTGCAATAAACAAAGTCAATTTCTCAGACTCTGGAAAATCTACAAGAAATCAAGCAATATAAGAAACATTCAAGTGTGACCAAGTGAACGAATGCAGAGCTAGCCAGATAAAGCTCACCGCACTCCTGCCTCGCGTGCACCCCACAGCTGAGCGCGCTGTGAGCAGCGGCCAGGGGGCTCCATCTTACCAGTACTGCGAAATCTCTCTCCTCTGCCATACTTTATTTAGACAAATTTTAAACATAGTACAAAAATATACAGAGCTATATAAAAAAGAGCTCTCAGACACATAAAAACTGGACAAAATTCTTTGTCTAAGTTCCATATCCCTAGAATTCTCCCAGCTGACTTATGTCCTTACTGGACATGTTTACGCATCCACACAGGTAGAGATGACTTTCAGGATAGAAAACTTGATTTGTGGAGAGGTTTGTAATATACAGCTTTTGCATTAATTTCATTGTAAATATTTTCTTCTACAATCTGGCTGATCTATGCATACAATCAAATATACTCATTGAGCACAGAAATCGGTGAATTATGATAAACAAATAAATCCAGGCAACCAACCTCCACTGCCAGCCAATACCCATCATCCCACACTTCCCTCACTTGGACCCTGATCCGCTTACTATCCCTGAGGTCAGTGTCTCCTGCCAAGCACTCCGTCATGGATGGGTGCAGTAGGCACACTGCTATCTGACTTCCCCACTCAGCACAGTTCCCGAGATTCACCCACGTGCTTCTGTGCACCAATACACTGACGGTGAGCGGCACTCCACTGTTCGGCACATCAGCTTTGTGGTCACTCACTGCTGATGGACACTCACTTTTAGCTACGGGCTACTATGAATCAAGGTGCTGTAAACACCTGTGTACTACAGTCTATGCAAGGGTATGTCTCTTCTGCTGGATATGTAGTATAAGTGGAATTTCTGTATCACTTAATAAATGTGTCAATATTACTAAAAAAGCTTTGTTCCAATAAATGACTATGCCAATCAATGTGAAGATTTTGACCCTGTTTGTCACAAAAGCATAGCGTATTAATTTTCTCTGTTCCACTGTATCTATCATTACCATGTGTCTAAAAAGAACGGGTAAATATCAAAGCATACACTCAAGGCCTACTTTGACCTGTTCAATTCAAAAGTTACTTTAACAAGGGAAGATTCTGGACTCCTCAGGCTATGAATCCGTAATAGATACAGTTGATGCCTGCCAGTAGTGTATTTTTCTGGAGTGGAGACACACTGGGGACAAGATAAACAAACTCCCAACCCTTCAGAATGTACACTCCAGTGGAAGAGACGGCAAACAAACCAGCGCTGCTACAGTAAGGAGTGATGTGTGCCCTGCGAACAGCAAGGAGAACTGGGTACAGAGCAGGCGAACGAGTACGAGAGTGAGCGCTAACGCAGCTGAGGGACTCAGGAGGGACAGACACTGCAGTGGAAATGGGTTTGCGGTGGACAGGAAAGAAATCCACACAGACTGGCGGAGCCCACGTCTTGCCCCGCTCCACCGCCCGCCACTAACACCAGTGTCGGTCCGTCTGTGTGATGCTGCCACGGTCCTCTAGCCCCCGCGGTGCTCACAGCCGCAGAGCTCCTGTCGCGCAGCAGGCACCCTGGAAGGAAGGGCCTGCTGACCAAGCTCGTTTTCACTGCAGTCTGTTCTCATGGGTATCTCCCTGCTCCCGAGTTGCAGCAGGACCAGCTCTAGTACTCATGTACTCATGTACTCATGTACTAGAATGGTCCCACCCCCGTTCTCCTGTCTGGGTCCACGATGCAAATCACTTACTGTATCATAACTCATTTGTTTGCCCTCAAAATATCCCATCACTCTGAACACACTCATCTCATTGTTCTTGCCATTTTCAGAAGCAGCTCTGAAAGTCCTCCTTCAGGAGTGTCTCTGGTTGCACTGCCATGCATGGCTGCCTTGATGTCCTGAACTGATTCAATTAATTTTGCACAGTACCATACCCAATGACTAAATGACTCTCTCTCTTCCACTGGGTTGTACATTCTGAAGGGACAGTTTATCTTCTCCCACTAAAAGAGTAAATACTTATTTGTAGACAACACTTAGACCTGGCATGATATTAAGTTGCACTGGCATATCATTTCCTGATTTAAAAACACAGGCAATCTGAGGCAAAGAAGTCCTACCTTGATCCTTAGTAGAGACTGCAGCAACAATAACGAAAGGATCGCCACAGAATAACCCTCGTGCTCATCTCCTTCTCACGCCTGATGCACTTCTCAGGAGCTGGTGAACCCATGCCAGTGCTGCCCTTCCCAGCTCGAGGCACGGCAGCCTGGCTTGTCATCTAGAAGCCTTTCTGTAAACTGTCAGCCACACATGGGCACGTGCACAGGCACGAGAAACACCCTAGTATTCATGTTCAAGGGAAAACGCATGTGCTGACTAAGCAAATGCTACTGAAAACCAGCTACGCTATTTATGTGCTCTAAATCATGTACCTTAGCATGATTTTCAATGATACTCCACAGTAAACCCAAAAACAGAGTTCCAAGAATTAGGTAAGAAAAACAACAGTATTGTTTTCAATACAGAAATGCCCCGGTCTACACATACCTTCCTTCAGCAGGCTGTAGCAAAACAAGCGAGCTCTTGCCAAGTCTCCCAGCTGCCGACAAATACCCACATACACTCTGCAGAGGGCGTGCATGTAATTGTGGTCCACGGACACCTTCTGAATCTTCAGTTCTGAGAGAATGGAGTGAAGCAAGCACTCTGCTAAATGCTGGATCGGAAAGAACAGAACAGCAAAGTACATTACATGTGCCTGTAGCCCACCTAAAAGACTGTCAGTAACAACTAGTATCTACTAGAAAAATGTAAGTTGTATGGTGTCAGGAGGAGGACCACAGGGTAACTGGTAGCAACTTGCTTAGCCTGGGAAATACCAGCGCTGGCAGGGTACAAACGCTCCGTGTCTGCCCCTTCGTTGTGGCTGTAAGGCCACAGATGCCACAGGGCAAGTCTGAGGACACCTAGCTACCTACTGTCACTACCGCCTCAGTAAGTAATGTTTTCTGGGCTTTGCCAAAACAATTGTGTGTGTGCGCGTGTGCTGAGCATAGTTTAATCCTCCTATTCTCTCGTTGCTCCGTCTACTGTTTCGATATTAAAATGTTGGGGAACACTTTCCTTCTTCAGGAAGAGGATCGTTAAATGGCACTATGGAACTCATCACTCAAAAAACCCTGAAAAACCAAAAAACACCTTTTCAAAGAAAGTACAGTGATGTCTCAGATCATAAACTTGATTCTTTCCAAGATTCTGCTAGCAAATTGAGTTGGGCAAGAACCAAATCAAATTCAATGGTTAGGTTCAATGTTGACCTTATGGGGAGATTTGATTTAGTTCTCAAATCTGACTTAGTTCTGGTCCAGTTCGATTTGCACTCAGAATTGTGGAGAGAATGGAGCTTGTGAACCAAGGTACCACTGTAATAAAAAACAAAGTATTTATGCCACAAGGACTCCAGGGATGTGCAGTAACCACTGCAGCGTGAACCATCAAGCGTGGGAAATCACCCACACAAGGAACCACTGGAGATCAAACCTGCAAAGTGACCTTCCTCCGGCTTCACCTGCGGCGTTCATTACTGGGAGCCCTGCTGTAAGACCTCCACAGCAAAGCACATGCACTGCTCTGTGCCCGCATTAAAGCTAAAGAAAACTGTTTTAACATTTTAACCCATCCCATGTGTGCAAACTATCAAACACATTGCGTCTTGTATCTCAAATGGTACGATGTTGGCTAGCAGTATCTGCCCTGGTGTTTACATGGGTGATGCTCACCCTTGCAATGAAACTTCAGTTCAGGGTCACCTGCCCCTTCTGCAGACAGCAGAGGCCCCGCCCTGGAGAGCCTGCAGTTCCTAGTACACTCAGAGGAAAGCAGCCACATACCTTCTTCGTTGTGCTAAATTCATAAACAACTTCCTTCTCTTGGTCTCGCATTATGGGCTTTTTCGAGATATTGCCCACATACACATGACTGCGAATGACAGGTAAGAGATCAAAGGAAGACTCGGCAATTTTCTTCAGTGCGCGAGCTATGGCTTTATCATGAGACTCCACTGTTTCTTTCGGCTTCGCAGGGACCTGGGACACTGGACCGGTGGCTGTAGCCGCGCTGCCTTCCTGTTCTGTGGGCTCAACTTCAGGCGGAGGGGGGTTTCCCAGGGGGTTCTTGGGGCTGCGTGTGGCACCAGTCCCCACGGGTTCTGGTTCCAGGGACTCGATATCCAGGCGCAGTCTCTTTGCACTCCTCGGAGTTGACGCTGATAATGTTCTCTTCACCCCCGAGTCTGGCTGAGTCCTCAAATCTCCTGGCCGCTCCTGGTTACTGTCACCACCGGAGGTGCCCCCAGTTTTGACGAAAGCGGTCGATGAGGAAGTGATCGCCTTGAGCCCTATCAGGGCACTCACAGGCCCTGGTAAAGTCTTCCCATCTGCGGACGAACCTCGAGACAACTGGAGGTTCCCTTTGAGGATGCTGAGGGTGCGAGCCCTGGCAGACAGCTCCGGGTACATGGTGTCGAGGATTTTCACAGAGTTCTCCTGAGGGCCGCCCACAGCGGTGGTGTGGGCAGGTGCACAGGGCGGCAGCCTGCCGGGCACGGGAAGTGCGTGCTTTGGTGTGGCCGCACAAAACTGCAAAGGAGAGGACACGATCCGCCCCCCTGCCGCCGCTGGGGCAGCGGAGGGAGACGGGGAGGGCCCCGGCGGTGAGGCTGGCCCGGGCTCCTCTGGCCAAGGAGACAACACAGGCGGCGCTGGGGCTGTACAGGACGGGCACATCAGGTCGGCAGGAGAGGCCGGGGGGCTCGGGCTGGGCGGGGACGGCAGTGGCGACAGCAGCGACAGTGGCTGCGAAGTCCGCCCCACCTCCTGCAGGATCTTGTTCAGCGTGTCCAGAGTGCAGTCTGTGGGCGTGGACGTGTCGGCCTTCGCCAGGACGGGCTGCACCTGCCCTCGGGGAGTCTTTGTGTTACCTCTGTCCCCTGACCCTAGCTGGGCAACTTCACTCTGACCAGCTTCCCCTCTGCAGGGAGCCAGAGCCTTTGCTGGCCTGCTGGGCTGATCTTTGCTGGGAGTCTTTGACCGGCTCTTATTTTTCCCGGATGGCTCGAGTTTCCAGTTATAATATGTGTGATCAGAGGTGACGCTGGGAGTCTCAAATGTCTGGTCGTATATTTGAGAACTGATCCAGATACTGGGCTTGACAGGTCTGTTCCGCAGACGGCTCTTATCAAAGTTTGTGCTCTGCCCGCTGCTGGAGACGTCCTCCTGGACTCCTGAGAGGTCACCGCCACACCGAGGCCCCTGAGAGGCAGGGCTGGGGGCACTCGTCTCTGGGGCCCTCTCTGCAGGTGCCACGGAAGCAAAAGCAGCCTCCAGCGCACCCTGCTCCTGCACCCGAGAAACAGGGACATCTCCGTGACTCTCGCACAGCGCAAGCTGCTCCACGTCTGGAGAGCTGGCGAAGCCACTGACATCTGCCCAGCTGTCCCCCTCGTCCGTGACGAGGCTCTGTGCCTCAGTTACCAGGACGTTTATGACTTCTGAGGCTGCTGCGGGAATGTGACACTGAAAAGCTCCCTCAGCCTCACAGCCAGTGCTGTGCTTGGTCCCGGCCTCTGCAGCGGCAGCTTCTGACGGGCACTCCCTGTGGGCGGCAGACACAGTGGCCTGGGGACTGTCCTGAGGTCTGCTCTCAACGTGCTCAGGGTGAGGCCCACCCTTCACAGGACAGCTGCCTTGCCCATCGGGGGTTAGGGGCAGTTCCAGGGCGTGGGGTGTCACTTCTCGAGGAGGTGGAACGTTCTCTTTCAGATCTTCCATTGTCAGGCTGTCATATATGTTTAAGAGCAATAAATTACCAGTATCGTTACCATCGCAGTCCTCATGGCTTATTTCAAGTTCCTGTCCAATTCTGGTGAGAACCTCAGACTGTATTTCCAAGGAACACTGAGCAAGGGGACTGGGTGCTTGTACGGAACAGGCATCGTCCTCGGCTTCAATCCACTCCCCAGGGATTCCCGGTGTCTCTTCTTCACAGCGCTGCTCCCCACCCTGCTCTCCCGAGATTCCGCTTGGCTTTAACTTTTTGTCCACTTCTTTACTTAGGGCTCCCTTGCTAGAACATTCGGAAACAGAGTCCCCTGAACTACAGTCCTGTAACTGACAACTCTCTAGAAACATGAGGACCCCTGATGTGGAAAGCCTGTCTATGTCAGGAGAAGGACTGAGGTTAAACTCTTGCAGTGCTGAGGTCAAATCGCCCAGCTCTAGGGAAGCTCCGGTCTCGGGCCCCCTAGCCTCGCTGTCCCCCAAAGCCTTCTGGGCATCACCCACAGCACCCTGTGGTCCCCTGCTTGGCCCGTCAGCCTCCAGCTCACTCTCACTACAGCTGAACAAGCTCTCACTCCCCTCCACCTCACTGTCCTTCTCCCGGGCCTCACGAATCCCTGCAGAACACAAGGAGGCACCCAGCAGACTGCTTTGGGAGAGGTCCTGGGTCTCAGTTTTACTGCACAATGGTGATGAAAAGGTGACACCTATGGTGACAAAGTGTTCCGGGAAAGTGGCACCAGGAGTTCCAGATGCCACCTTCCAAGGCTCGTCAGTACCCTGTGCCATGCTGGGGGGACTGCAGGTAACAGCCAGGGCCTCGGTGCCTGGTGTGCCAGTGTCTCTACGGGGTGCTTCTTCCACAGGGCAGCCTCCTGACACTGCCAGCTCAGCCGGAAGCCCATCACTGCCCTCCGCCGCGCATGCGTCCGGACCCATGGAGCAAGGAGATGGCCTGGGTGCCTGTGCCTCGTCCTGCGTGGCAGTGTCCCTCGAATCCTCCTGGCTGTGGGTAAAGGTGCCTTCAGAAGAGAAAGATACCTTAACATCCACAGAACAATCCAAATTTCCTGCTGGTAAAGAAGCACTCGGAGGATCAAAATTTCCTTTTCTCCAAGAGGAAGAAGCCTCCGGTGCAGTGTTCTGGGCAGCCGCTCCCTTGGTGTTTCTGGCTGTGTCCTCCCCTTCCCCACCGAACTCTGCTACAGAAGCTGTCTCCTCACTTGTGTTCTCACAATTTCTAGCCGCTAAGCACGGCTGCTTCCTGTTCAGTGTCGAGGGCTCCCAGGGAGCACTCTGCGTCCTCGGGGGTCTGACCTGCTTTGTGATGACTGACACTTGATTGGGCAGCAAGGAAGCAGCAGCCTTGAATTCCACAGGTCCGTTACTTTCTGCAGGAAGCTGAGGCACAGCTGCCGACCCTCTGTTCTGTGGAGTTGGCGTCTTCTGCTCATTCTTCTGTTCGTGTTCTGAGGCAGCTCCCGGGCTCTCCCCACTTCTCCTTAACAGATCACTACGGTGCCACGAAGTGCTTCTCACAAGACCAGAGCCGCTCTTGATCTGAGAATCTGCCAGTGAAGTCAAATCTGACGTCTGTAGTGTGAGCTCTATTCCTGGATCTTGAGTTTCACAGTGCCCATCTTTTGTGGCCTTCCTGAACACTGACTGAGGAAAGGAGTAGATTTTGGTCAAGCCTTGTACAGGTTTTGTGCATTCTAGCTCCCTGCTCTTCTGATCACTCAAATTAGGTGCCCCCGATTCAGCACTCGAAGCACGCAAGCTGCTCTCCGGGTCGTTCTCCTGTGCAGAATGCTCTCGTGGCTCAGACTGCAATGAAGTTTTAGTTTGCACTTTTTGTTCCGAATGGTGCAGTTTAGGAGGGATTACTTTAGTTGGAATATCTGCCTCACTAACGTACTCTAGCTGGGAAGACTGAGGATTACTGCAAACAGAGCCTGGTACCGAGGTAGGAAAGGAAGAAACACCAGCTCTAACATCAGGCCCTGCTGGACCCATCACGTCAGCTGCATCACCTCTGTCATCCTCTAGTTCAGGCGATTCTTCCAAAGCAGACCCCTGCTTAACCTCTTTGTCCTTTTCTGTTTCTCTGGATCCTCTCTGCAGAGGGCCAGATCTGGTGACACATCCTGTCTCCAAAGCGACTTCATCAGCAAGTGTCCACTGGGTGAATTCTGATGTGTGTGATCCTGTCGTTCTGGACGGCAAGGACTGTCCTCCAGACTCGGCGAGCTCATTCAGCGGCCCCCTGTGAAGGAGGGACTTCCCAGCGGCTTCCTCCTTCTCCCCTGCTAGGCTGCTGGACGACCTCTCACCCCACAGGCTCCCGCTGGGCATGTGATGCGCCCCGTCAGCCTGCAGGGATTCAGCGCTCCTTCTGACTCCCACTGCTCGTCCTACCTCACCTAGAACATCTCTCGTTCTATCAGTCTCCAATCGAGACGCCGCTGTCCAGGGCTTCTCCCAAGCCACAGGGGATGTGGCGGAAGGCTCTCGCGGTGCTGCCGTGAGTGTCTCAAGCTCACCAGCTGTCTCTTTATTCACTGCCAACTTATTTAGAGCGGGGATAGCTTCTTGTGATCTGGGTTTTTCTTTCCATGCGCCACTTGCTTTATTTTTTCTGGATAAACCGAAATAATCTTGTGAATCAGTTACATCATCTTCGGAGACAGAGCCAGTGGAATTTCTAAGATGAGTGGAATCGCTGTCGCTGGAATCTGTACACTCTCCAAAGTAGGTTTCCTGAAAGGAAGGCAAAGTGCACTAGTCAGACCCCGAAACAAGCCGTCAGTACCAGCTGAGTGCATCAAGAACAGGGCACGCTTCCTGAAGAACTCCTCAAATCCCACCTAAGAACAGCCGGGCTCCAACACGCGGCCTGGCAGGGCCAACCCCTGGCACGATGCTGCTCTACCTCTTCTTATAGTGACCCCCCGCTGGAGGCCTGGTCCCTTCCACTGCTCTCCTTGGACAACTACTCCCCACACATTCATACTTCCACACTCACCTGGCCTCCCAGTGAACACGGCCCTCTTTCCTCTCCCCCAGGCCTTACGCTCCTGCCCAGGCAGGCTCTGGGCCCAGCCTCGCTATAGCTGTGGGGCGTCCACACACCACGGCTGCCTCCCTGCACAGCTTCTCCCTCACACCCTGTCCTCTGCAGCCCTCAGGCCCTTTGCACAGGCTGTCCTGTGATAGCAGCCGCTGGCCTCATTTACAAAGGAAGGGGAGACGGACCTAGACCCACAGCTGGACCTAGACCCGCTCCTCTCCCAGTGTCACTTATGCATCCCCAGTTCCCCAGGAGGAGCTCAGCCTAAAGACACCTCTGTAACCCCAGCCTAGCCTCTGGACTCTCTCTCCCCTCCCCCTTACAGGGAGCTGTACATGTAGCTGCTCCTGAAGCCAAAAGATATGCAATCACACTTCATCAATGCTGACTCCCTCTAAGAAGCCACTGCAGACATTCTGTAAATGCACTAAATGTGAATCCATCAAGTGCACGTGGGGATCGTGGCTACACTGCACCAACAGGCATGTATGCAATAATGGGGATTTTCTTGTCCATGTGAACTCCATGTCCACAGTATATGTTCCATTCACTAATGTGTCAGGCTCTACTGATAAAAATAAAGGTTTTTTGGGTGATCTTCCCATAGTAAACTTAGAATTTGGTTGGGACATAGATCAATAAAAATGCAACCATTATAAAAAGTGAAAAAAACTCATACTACACTGATGATCCAAAGGGTGTGGGTGTACCTCTTTCACATCTCAGTTACTCCCCGATGAAACTGGATAGAATGAAGAGTTTTGCCCAGGTCCACTAATACCCTCAGAGTATCACAGACACACCCGAACAACGCATGTCAGAAGGCAAACTCACAGGGGTGAGAGCAGAAGGTAGGGAGCTCAGGTACGGTGAGGACATCCGAGGGGGTGAGGACATTCGAGGGGGCGAGGACATCTGAGGGGGCGAGGGCACTGGAGACAGAAGAGGAAGGGAAAGTTTGAAGTCCATTGCAGCCTGAAGATCTCTGTCCAAAAACTGACTATGATGGGCTAAGTCAGTCCTGTCCCAGTCAGCAGGTCTCTGCAGGAAAAGCTCAGGATTCCTGTCCTCATGAGAAACAGCTCTGCTGGCACAGGGGTTCTCCGCAGTGGGCTGCTCTTTGTCCACACTTTCCCAGGCAGCAAAGTCAGCCTGTACCTCCATGGACAGCTTCGTGAGGCACGTATGCATATCTGAGGGCCTGGGTGGGCTGCCTGGGGCTGGAGGTAGCATGTCATCTTCCCCAGATGCTTCGGATCTGGTGTCTTCTTTGGCAGGTTGTTCTGGGGGGAAAATAGGAATTAAATATTTATAATATCCAGAAAACTTTTAGAAAGCACCCTTATACTAATAGTTCCAAATTCTGGAAGTAAGTCCGAGTAAGTAGAAATACTTTTTAAAAGACACTATTTCCTACAAAAAGTGAGGTAGGATGATGGAGGGGAGATGAGATACCCATCCAGCAGTACACACAGCAGGAAGGTGATTTTCCATTAACCGGTGGAATGGGCAGAAGAAATTCTGAGTGTATGACTGACAGGGACACCATTTTCTCTGAAAATTGATCCGAGTCCACCAACACCAATGACAGCTTCTGGAACAACACTGCAAGTGAGAGGCCTGACTGTTCAGTGAACACTTCAGATGATAATGAAACATAAAAACTAAAGAGCTAATCCTTTTAGGGTCTTCATCTCGATGAACTTCAGCTGGTACTGATATACTGTAATGGAGGCAGTAAGCTTAACCTTACTACTGATCTGAAACAGAGGCAGTAAGCTTAACACTACTGTCTCAATATCAAACACTTTAGAACCTAAAATGGAACTGTTATTTTCTAAACAACCATAGATATCCTATCATTTAAATCCACATAAAATGTTAACAGATAACAACTATACATTTGTACAATGAAATTAGAAACTAAATCCATACATAACATTGCCGCATGACAATCATGACGACATTTTGTAACACACTTAAATTTTCATTTTGACATAACATGACCCTTTTAAGCAGGCATATCTAATACATAAGAAGCTTTTTTCTAATCTGTTACCCTTTAATAAGATATATGTAAGTTTTTGTTAAAAGCAGAGGTTTTAATCTGAAAGAAAAGTCTTTATCACAATAAACACTCCTTGTTTTACATTCTGGAGGACCTGCACATCCATAAGCATGAATATATTTTAATACCTCATGAGATTAACAATAATGAATTACTGTACACATGTGAAAACCTTTGTTTCTTAATTTTGTTTTGTACTAAGAGCATCTTTTGTGAGAACACCTTATTTTTTATTTTTCTGGAACACTTTTAACCATGACCAAATTATTAGGGGTATCTTCCAAGATACTCTAGAGATCACTGGGGGCTCCTTATTAATGAATACAGGTTGGCCAGTCCTCTATTCACCAACTGGAGTCCTGCCCAATAATTTCTTCTCACCTTAAAGAATTGTGGTTAAATATTTTAATTTTTTGATGAGTTACAAGCAAGCCAATTTTGATTTATTTGAACCAGTTGGTAGCTCAGGCGAAAGCACGTTTTTAAATCTATAGTCTAAATTGTATTATGGACAAATGATGAAAAAAAAGGTTGAGCTCAAAATAAAGGGGAACAGCTATTCACAGAATGACAGACAAACACACAACAAGTACAAAGAACACACAGACATCTTACAAAATCAGAGTGCACTCAAATATATTCCAGGTCAAACTGAATTATAGTAACTCTTACAGTTTTTAGAAATCTATAATTGTACAGACTAGTCAGATTTGTCTATCAATTAACAGAGATCTCATCAAAAAATTTGGGTAGAATACAATCCTTAATCTATTTTATATATATATATATATATATATGTATATATATATAGATATTCTTTGTATTTTATTGTCTTAAGAATACTCCAACTTTCAGCTCAATTATCTCTATATAGTCTATCACTTATTCAAATATTTAATTCCCATTTTGATTACTATGTCCTGGGTCTTCTGGATCAATCTCTGTGGTCGGGTTAAGCCTTATCCTGTCTACTGGCTGTAGAGCAGTCTCTGAGCCGTCACTGTCACAGGACTGCAAAGCAGGTCCCTGAAAGGTAAAATCAGCTTCTTCAGATCTGAGTTCATGATACAGCCTGACAGTATGCTCTGGTACCCAAATAGGCTACTCAGAACAGTTTAGGGTAATTGTTACTTCTGCCCAAAAGCATTTGCAAGTTCTATGTTGGTCATTTTTTCAGACTCTTGAAATTTCAAGAAGCCATTCTCATTATGACCTGTCGTATAACAAAGACATTGTTTCTATCATCAGAAAGATGATACTTTTGACCTAGGAGTACTAAGTAGAATCTTCCCAGTTAATTTTCATAAGAAATCCTTTCAAGGTCACGCCATAGCTTCTATAATCCACTTTTATGTCACCGCCATATGCACTTGGTTCCACATACTTGTGACTAAACCCAGTAGCTGGTTTGCAGTCTCTAGGACTGCAGGCCATATCGTCAGCGAGCATCAGGACAGTGTGGCTGCTTTCTGTGATTTCTTAATACTGTAGCAAACTAATAACCTCTGCTGTAATTTCCATTTTCCACACACTTCCAAAGAAATTCATTATCAGGACATTTTAGGGTCCCTCTTAAAAGGATCAGCGCAGTGTCTAGGAGTAGACACACAAAGACTCTTGGGTTGTACTTGAAAAGGTCATTCAACTTTAGGTTGGCTAGCTACATTAATTATCTCTAAAATTCCAAAACATAAAATGTGCATCTATTCACAAGATGGAGTCTAACTGCAGGATCAGGTTGATGTGAGAGGGAACCTTCTCCCACTTAGCTACTGGCTAGAGCCATTATGCTGGGAGAATAAAACCACTCACACATGGCTACTCCTTGCCAAGTATCATTGTAGCACCTTGTTTATCTTTGTTTTTTATCTTGCATCTTTCCAGGTTAGCTGCTTAACACTTGCTAGGGTGAGAAACATTACCCTCTCCTTGTAGGTCTGTAGCGGCTACATCCAGAGGTTATGGTTTAAGCCAATGGTGTTGGGCAATAATTGAAACACCCACACCTGTGTCTAAAAGCCCTTTAAATATTTTTTTCACTAATAGGTAATTCCATCTCAGGGCAATTTTGTTTGATCTACTGAAACCAATAGGTGTCAGAATATCCAAAACCCTTGGATCCCTTTCCCTTATTTATAATGTTTATTAATTTTTGCCAAGGGAAGTGATTAATTGAGTGATATAAGAGTCTAGGGTGATTAATAAGGTTTTAAGTAATTAATTAATAAGTTTTAAGTAATAAAATAATAAGGTTTTAATAAATTAATAAGGTTCAATTTTTTATACAGCCCAAATCAGTGACAATGGGCAAAAACCTGGTCTCTTTGCAGCCTGGGGCCTGGGTGAGCTACTGGCAGGGCCTCAACTGTCCTGCTTCTCTCTCGGGAATGGACTCCTCTACCTGTGCACACCTCAGCTCCAAGTACTGAGGCGATCACCCTCTCTGTAGCCATGGCCATGTACTAGTCAGGTGGGCAGCATGGTGGAGACATCCAAAACACTATTCTGGGATCCAGTGTGCCAGGTGGAAGGGAGGGAATACGCTAGGCCTGTAGACATGTGGGTGGCTGGGAAATCCCAGGTGAGCCCGCTTAGGACCCAAGCACAGGGCCTTCCTGGCACCCAGCCTGTGCCCTACTGTTAGACGGGGCCGAGGCAGGCCCCATCGGGAGTTTCCTAGGAAGGGCCGGCGTTTTGTTTTAGTTTTAGATTTACACTCATTTTCCCAACAATACCCTCGCTGACACTTTGTGCAAGGACCGGAAAGCTTTGTTGAAGAGACAAATAATTATAGGGTGATTTTTCTCTACTCAGAGCACTGTAGGGATAGGTAGTCAGGTTACATATTATCAAACTGTCACCCACCAAACTTAGCAGGCCCAAGTGTATCTTGCCTGCTATAGTTACTGCTTTGATATTTGCCCAGTGATGATTTTTGTGTCTCTCGTTGGGAACAACTGAAGCTGGAAAATAATTACACATGTAGGATAAAGCCAGCCCGAGAACATGGGAGCTCCTCAAAGCACGTAAACAAGCCTAGTAGCTTGTTAACTGACTGCTGGGCAGCAAGGCTGAAAGTAATCAACCTCTCGAGGGTATAAATAAATGCTCTACTGGTCTTCGGCAGTTCCCCTTCTCTGTTCAGGAGAGAGAAGACCTCTAACTGATCCCTGCTTTTTCTCTCTTATCTGTCTTTTCCTCATTTTCGCTGTGGTTCCTTCCTAGGGTACAGCAAGAACCAGCGGATCCATACAACTGACGACCACGTAGGGACCCTGATGGTTCCTATCAACGTTATTATCTCCTTAGAGAACTGAGGGATAAACCTGTTTAAAAGAACCTCGTGAAATATACCTCTTCCCAAGTGAATGCAGCCTCAACAAGAATTAGCAACTTGCCATTAAGGGAACCCTGTTTTCTGAAGCCGAGGAGAAAATCTGGTAATTAGGTACACCTCATGACCGACAGACTTAGATCCTCAGCGACCGCTGAAGTCAGCGGCGGCGAGCTTGCCTGCCTGCTTGCTTATTTACTTGCTTGCTTACTTACTTACTTACTTACTGTGGTACTGTGGATGAAATCTGGGGCCTTTGCAGTGAGCTACGCCCTCCTTTCTTTTCTGATTTCTTCATTTTTAATTTTCAAGACAGGGTCATGCTAAGTAACTAAGTTGCTCAGGCTGGGTTCAAACTTGCAATCGACCTGCCTCAGTCCCCTGCAGTGCAGGAATTACAGGCATGTGCCATCCCATTAGCCCATAGCAGACATCTCAAGAAATTAGTAAAATAACAAAAAGTTGACTAAGAACCACTTTAGTCTTGTGGAAGTCGGCTATCTTTTCCTCCTTTAGAAGAAGTGGCTAACATGTATTTCCAAATTTAACAACCCGAATGCTCTACAAATGCCAACATAGCTGACAATCTCCGTAACATCTAACTGCAAGTGAAGCTGTCTGGCCAAAGGAACTGGTAAATTACATAAGACAAGAGTTAAATTCCTCATAGGTAATCAAACTCATGAAATGATTTTTTAAAAAATACATCCTTCAGTCTTCCACATGTACCTGCTATTTCTCTCTCAGTGTTCTGTCCTTCCAGTTTCTTTGAATGTACCGATAAAAGCCATACGGAAATAGTAAAAGCTAAATTGTTTCCTGAAATGTGAAGTCGCAAGGAAGGGAGAGCGCTTTTGTATGATCAGAAGTACACACAGTGCATTCCTTTCCACTCAGGAGACGTTAAAAGGCAAAGGCTGCGACACCTGTGGTAAACAGCTCTACTTTCACGCATGGAACGCATCTTCCTACCTGTAACCCATCTGCTGCCTTCACTAGGCAGTCTGCGCGCTGAGTTCACGCAGAGCCAGAGCTCCTTCAGCAGCAGCTTCACTTTCCCTGTGAGAGAGAAGGCAGCATCAGGTCATGTCACTTGGCGCAATGCCCACACAAACCCTGTGGAATCGGGATTTATTAAGGACTTAGAAAACTAGGTACAGAAGCATCTTCCTCCACTCAACCAAGTGCACAACTCAGTTACTGATGGGAAGGTCTGCAATGTGTTAGCTAAAATTAAGGACTCAACAGAGCTTTTGAAATCTTCAGTGCAGGGGGCACGGAGAACCCTCAAAGAGCCAACCTATTCGCTGGTAAAGGCTTTTGTTACCTTTGTCTATGCAAGGGACAAACGGCTCTTCAGCCCGCACACTCTCCCCAGAGTGCTCTGAGGTGAGCAGAGAAGACACAGCTACAAGGTACAATACACCAGCGGGGCCACACGTGTTTTATAGGAACAGCAGAGAAGTATCCCTCAGTTAGATGAGACTGTCAGAAAAGTTACCAGCTGACCAAGCAGTAACTGACCTGGGGGACACCCATCAACTAGAGGGGAGACGACAGGATGGAGACAAGAGGTGCAGGTATGAACACAGACAGGGACCAAACACACAGCAGCAGACAGAGAGCACGTGCTTTCCTAAAGTGAAACCGCTCATTTTTATAAATTTTCAAAGGGGTCTAGATTCCATCAAGTAGAAAGGCCAATGGAAGCTGTAATCAAGAAAGTCCTAGTGAAATTCAAGGGAATATTATAATACTAGGGTTTTAAAGCAGTTTTAAGTATATAAATTCCAAAAATACCTTCCAAAGCAAAAACATGAAAGTATAAATATGTATAGCTTGTAATGAAATATACATAAAAAATAACCCACACTAATTAAAATTCAACTAAAAGTGGCTTTAAGTATGGGGTAATTTCAATCCACCTCAAGTTCCTATTGCTTCCTTAAATTTCTAAATTAACCTTAAACACTTATTAAAATTGGCATTTTATCCAGTTCAAGAGAAGATGAAAAGGCCAGTATTTTAAGCCAAAATTATTTCCAGATAAATCAATCACAGATTTTAAAATAGTGTCCGCCTATTTAAGATGGCAAACTGTGTCACTTCAAACATGAAGTCCATAGGAAGGGGCCAGCACAGACGTGGAGGGCAGGTATGGACAGTTCTGAACAGCTGGCACTGGCAACCTCGCCTAAGCCAGATCAACCTGTTTATCACCGCGTCTGACGAACACCCACTTTGGTTTCCAAAATTCTGTGATCCAGTAGCTTATCTACAGTGTGATTTAACCTACCCAAAAGCCTGCTTCCAAACACTGTAATCCTGACCAGGATCCCTGCTTAAATGACCTGACCAGGATCCCTGCTTATTACGTATACCCAAAGCAGCAAACAAGGAACCTTAAAAAAAAAGAAAAGAAGTTACTTTTCCATTTTTAATGGAGCCTAATAACAGAGCTACGCCTAATCTAACTGACCACTCATTACTTCTGATCTGAACCCGCCAAAAAAGCAACCCATCCCCAACAAAGCAGAAAAAAATCGAGCGCGGTTGCATAATTTAGTTGTCACGATAAAATTTAAGTGAACTGCACACCTCTCTTTAATCTTTTAAAATGTTTCCACTATCAAAATGTGAGGCACTTAAGAGTATTTCTGGAGTTTTCCACTCCATTGCTTTGTCAGTTTCTGTATGAATAACACACTTCTTTCTAAATGTTAATATCGATTATCATGCTGTTAGGGCATGATCTTTGCTTAGTTCTTCCCTCTTAAAAAATTTTATTATCCTGAACACATTTTTCTCCTGATAAACTTTCACTCCCTATTTGTTCTTTCCCACAGAAAACCTTACTACAACTTGTAGCAAGACTTATCTCATGACACATTACTTAAATAAATACACTTAGGGAAGAGCCACATCTGGACGCTTTGAGTTTTCCCACGCAGGAACACAGCCGTCACGTGCGCCCCCTTCAGGAGCGCTGCACAGCACTCTGCACTCTGCTCTGGAGCTCTTCCTAACTGCTGACAGTTCCAGTCCATGAGAGGGCGCTGCACTTGCGCTCCTCTCCGCACAGGGTCACAGTGGTGCATTGTGGGTATTCACCTCATCCCCATCTCTTTCCAGCTCCAGTCACTGTTTCCGGGGAGTCTTCTATGCTCTGCACACGCGCACCGTGAGCAGCTCTGACTGCCTGTTTTTCTGTTCATTTGGCCACACTGGTTAGGGTCTCCACTGCATGAAGAATTAAAGTAATAAAAAGAATCCTTGCCTTGTTTCTGATAGGAAGACTATATTTTTAATGCTTTTTCTTAAGTTCAAACTCTTCCTTTCCTATTATCTCACCAAATTACTATTTTTAAAATTAGAAATAGATGCTGAACTGAGATGAACATGGTATTTTTTGAACCAGCGGTAATATCCTTAAGTCATAATTTGTATTCTAAATAATAAAGATTGGATCCCTTAAAATTTTATTTAGTATTTTTGCAGTTCTGTTATCAGGTAGCAAAGAGTTACCTGAGTCTTCAGAGTATGTGTTCATGTTGCTCATATTTTACTGCAGGGTGATGCTAGTTTAAGAGACACGGATGAAACACTCCAGTTTTTAAGTTCTAAAACAATGAATTAATAATAAAGACACTAGTTTTTCGCTGAAGCCTTATTTGTTTGTACTGTTTTGTTTTTTGAGATAGGGTCTGGCTATGTAACTTAGGCTGGCTTCAGCTCATTACGTAGCGCAGGCTGGCCTGAAACTCGCAGAGATCATCCTGCTTCAGTCTCCCAAATGGTGGCATCACAGTCGTGCATTCCCACACCTGGCTTCCATTGAAGTCCTTTAAGAGCACAACCATAAACACCCTGATCAATTATGGTGTCAGGATCATTTCTAAAAACTTCTCTAGGATTATTTTCTGGTCAAGTTTCCAACAATTATTCACAGTCAATCTCAGCATGTTTTCCTAGAAAATGACCCATTTTACCTACCCTCACATTTCAATATGAAACTGGGAATGCAGGACTCCAGTGTAGCTTTACGGCATGCACTGTCCTGGAGCTACCGGGTTCTCCCCGCTCTCAGTCACACTTGCCAGAGCTGCTGGTCTCACAGCGTTGCAAAGATCCAGCATCAGTTTCAGTGTCCCACGTCAAACGCTCTGCTTCCCCATTTCACTTATTCTGAGTGGAGTGGGACTTTTTGTTAGTATCTCATATGAAGTTACAGACATTTTGTTGTGTATTATCCAACTTTCACAAATTTTTGAAGTTATTTTAAAGGTACAAGGTTCATGGAGTTATAAGTAAATCATCAACCTGGCAACTGAGTTTCTAATTCCATTTCTTGTCTACTTTCACCTGTTATTTCTGAAAAATATATTGAAGTCTCTCATGATAAAGACAGACCTAGCTACCCCGCTATAATCAGCAAGGTTTGTGCTGTGTTGTTTGCTTGACACAGTCTCACCTTCTTAGGTCCATCACAGCAGATCTTCTAGGTGAACTGCACTTTTAAGCAGCCTCAAGGTTCTCTTTTAACCCATGTAAACTTGTTTCTAGGCTTGAAGTTATTTTGTTGCCTTATATTACTGCTTTCACCTTAGCATTGCTTAGAATACTTTATTACTCTGTGTTCAAATTTCCACCTCACTGGTTTGAAGAATATTTCCTACCAACATGTCAGAGGTGACAGTTATATACAATAGTCATGCTTACCACTTGAGAGGCCCTTTCAATGTGAATAATATATATTTTATCTGTTTCTGCCCAAGGAAAATCCTTCCAATTATTCTTGATCCTCCCCTCTGAGAAGTTCTAAAAGATGCATACAGAGGTCTGGCTTCACCTTTCAAATTCTTATAATTTCCCTAACACCCTTTTTCTCTTTTACAACTTCTCAGGATTTAAATCTCTTGGTTCACTAAATCAATCTTGTATTTGTCCATTCAACATGTAGCTCATCCACTGAGTTTATGTAACTGTAGTTTTAATTCTGAACACTCCCAACTGGTTCAGTCCATGGCAGCAGCCTCTGGGTATTCAGACTTTCTCTAGAAATTCTAACTCCGCTTTTAACATTTTCACCTCATCCATGACTTAACACTGCTTTCTCCAGTCTTCGTGTGTGTGGTTCCTTTCTTGGCACTGCCTCTTTGGGTTTTTTAGCTGAGAGTTTAAAGAAAACATCTTTAGTAGCCAAAATCCTCTTTCAGCCTGTATTTTTTGTCTTATTCCTCTGACAACAAATGTAGGTTTGGTTTCATAAACCCATAGAACTTTTTCTGCTTGGATGGGGGTGGTGCTCAATGAGGGCAACTGTGAGAATTCAGGAAGAGGACATAAATCTTTAGTGTCTAGGGACAGGAGTGGCGATCCCTCAAAGCAGCCCCAATGAGCAACTGATACCCACAGGTCATGAGGATGCCCTCTCGTGTCACGGCTAACACTTTAGAAAACTACACTTGGGTCACAGACTGTGGGCAAAAGCCTGAAACAGTTCCTGAGGCCTCCACGCTGGCCCCCTGCACCCTCTGTCCTTCAGCTGGCGGAACCGAAGCCCTGCCCCTTCTCCCACTCCCTTCCCTGCGGACTCGGAAAACTCCAGGCTTCTGCGGTGAAACCTGCTATTCTGAGAGGTGCTATTTTTTCTGTAACTGTTACCTTCTGCTTTTCATCTTCCTCATTAATTTTCTCTATTGATGGTGCAACCTTTATACAGGGGAACCATTCTTTTTATAATTTGGGTCATTTTTATTGGAATTTGAAAGGAAGGAAAGGCAAAATGGCACCCAGGCAGCCTTTTTCAAAACTGAAGTTGACTCAATACTCTTTAGTGCCAAACTTGCAAATTTCTTCCAGAAGTCAAATATTAATAGTACATATCAATACCTGGTTAAACCCATCAAGGAATTAAACCCATCAAGGTCCGCAGCTGACTTTATTTACTTAGAAAAAGTGAAACATACAATAGGAAATAGTCCTGTCGTCATCCTTAGGATGAGTAAAAACAACTGTACAATGACTGTGCTTGAGATAGTCACAAGTTCTATAGAATATAAGGGTGGAGAACAACTGCAAGAAGGGGTAGGGAGAAAGAGTGTGTTCTGAACCTCAGGCCTAAAACAAATCTGCTACTGCAGAAATCAGATGATTCCCTCCAGCAGCTGAGTACAGGTGGGGAAAGTGAGACGCTGCCGTGTCCACCGCTCTCAGCAGCGCCTGCCACTCAGCTCCCTTTCCACATGGAACAGTACTGGAGGGATCACCCAGCCGAAAGCCCGGGGTTACAGATTACTGATAGTGATTAGCGACAAGCCAGTGCCCAGGCCGCGGGAAGCTGTGAACTGTTAAAGACAGGCAAGTGAAACATGAACTTGTTCTCTGCATTAAAAATCATTAAGAGGAAAAGAAGGGTAAAGCTGCTTTCTTAGGAGATATTATATAACAAAAATCCAGGGTTTTAATAATTTTAACTGAAGAGAGAAAGCAACACTTAGGTGTTGATGATGTTAATAAACAGTGTTGATGATGTTAATAAACATCATTGTTTATTAAGTATTTAATTTGTCCACAAAAAACTTGCGGGACAGAATAGAAATTCAAATTCATAATCTTATTTTTAAAATAGAGGGGGGAAAAAAGCACCTCGGAATGGCCTCAGGTAAAATAGAAGCATTCAAGTGAAAACTCCCAATTTTCACAGCTTGAAGGGTCATCATGGCTTCGCATTATTAATAAGATGAGGCACTTGGTAAGAAAAAGTATAGATACATTTGCACTTCTTTTTTTTCTACAGTTATACTATTTTACTTTCCTTTTTAACTTTGGCTCTTCCCTAAACTACTCTGTCTAGAAGATAACACAGAGTTCTGATTTTACAGTTTTCAGCCTAATTTTATATTTGTCTCATGAGAAACTAAATTTGTAATCGAACAAATTTGTAATCTGACAAATTTCTAATCTAGCAAGAAAATCTACACTTATTGAAAACTATGCCAATTTTATCTCCAACTAGGTATTTTTTCGTACACAGTATCTTCTGGGTCTTTCATTTGCTGTATTATTTTATAGGAGTATAGTGACTGCATACATGAAGTATATGGTTCTAATGACCACCCAAATAAAGCATGACTTCTCACATGGACATCTTCTAAGCTCTGGTTATAGTCATGAGTAGGAGCATCATGCAGCCTCCCAGAGCACTAAAAGTAACACACAAGACTAAAACAGGAGTTGTGCATACTTACTTTTGTCTATGCTTCCATACGAATCACTTGAAATTTGTGTTCCAATATGTCTCAATTCTAAAAATGTATGGGGAAAAAAGTTTAAAAAACACTGGATTTCAAAACAGAATTTTAAAGTAAGCATTAGCTGAATACTCACCCTTTTCACTTTTCTGCTTGGAAAACTCGTCAAGCCTTTCCTGTGGAAACAAAGCACCAGCGGTGTTTGCGCTGTGTAAGAAGGTCAGACACTGGGCCGGCAACATAGCCGCTGTGATGCACGACCAGGCCCTGCGCCCGACTCCCACCGCGGCGGCAGCGTGAACCCCCACCCTGAAGCCAGGATGCCCAGCGTGTGCACACCGTGCACCCAGTACCTGTGTCCTCTTAAATTCCTTTTCAAGTATTTTCTTTTCATTTCTCAGTTGCTTGAAGTCCTGAGTTTGCTTGACAGCAGCCTCTGCATTTCAAAGTCCAGTAAAGCAACAGAGAGAGAAAAAGAACTTACTAACTTTACTACGACGGTTAAGGAACGACTCAAAATGTAACCTATTACAAGCTTTTCTCATTTCCTAAAACTCTGAAACAGACGTCACCAACAGCTGGCTGCTGGAGGACTGCGGCCTCGGCTGGCCGCTGGAGAAACGCACAGCTGCTGCCGGCCTCTGGGCTCCTCCGCAGACACGCACAGCAACCCCAGGCCCGCCTCCCAGCCGGGCAGAGCCCAGGGCACCGCAGCAGGGGCACGCCCGGCACGCAGGCTCTTCTCACTCCAGTAAGCACAGTAACCCGCGCTCCTCAGGGCTGCGACTGCATCTCAGAATCTGTTACTATCCTCTTCTTTCTCTCCTAAGGGAGAGACAACTTATTGATGGTTGCTATACACTCTGTAATCTTCCTTAGAATTCCCTTCGACAAGTTAACTGACCCTAATTCCAAATAGCTGTATTACAGAGCCACTCTTTAGGCACTGCTATAGCTCATCCTCCCAGTGTTCAGTTCTGCAGCACCAACTCATCTACGTGCTATTAAGAATCTGGCCAGTGCTGACTTTACAGACATGCTCACACATAACTGCTAAGAAAAGGAAACTCTCGAAACACCGTAGTAGCAATCCCCTCCTGACTAATTTACTAAGTTCAAGTATTTCTTTCCTCAATAATCTTTACTATGCTGAGTCATTTACAAGGGAAATATGTATTTTTACATGAAAAATATAGGCTGCATTTTGTTTCACAGGAAGTTTGTTCTCAAAACAATCTCACAGGCATTTAGTTCACCAGCTCTCTGGAGCATGTCCGTAGACACTCATCTCCACACACTAGCAAGAGAAGGCAAGGCCTGCAAAGAACACAGCACTGCTGCTCAACTGCCCACTGTCAACATCCCTGCGAAACTCAAACCAGAGGAAAATGTCCCTCAAGATATTTACAAATTTAAATCGAAAAAGGCTGGCTTGATTTAGACAAATCAGTGACAGGGAACACTTTCAGCAAGTACTACTGTACACGGGCTAAGGCAACTGTATTTAAACTGCTACGCTGTACCCCCCATAGAAGCACGCTATCTCTGAAGCAGACTCCATCAGCATGGTGCTGGGGTGGGACAGCCGTGGAGGCCGGCAGGCAGAGCCCGTGTGTTTCTACTTTGTACAGAGTGCACACCCCACCACATGGGAGGAAAAGCGAACAAAAAGATCTCGACCCCCATTCCTGAGCCCTGAAAGGGCTGCGGTTGGAACGGGAGGGCCCAGCAGGTTGCGGTGCAGCCCTTCTGCACTCTGCCCACTCACAGACTAAAGGCCCTACCTCGCCAGTGGAATGCGGGGAAGACCAGGACAGATCGGACAGTCCCCAGTATAGGAAGTCCATCGAAACCCTTCAGTGGGGGCTTCCTATCTGTCTAAATGCTTCCGTTGCTCGTTAGGAAAAGCAGCAACTCTTTCTAGTAATCACTCGTTTCACTAGGGGAAAGTGGGAAAGCGCCACAAGATTCAGTTCTCACAGTGAAGCATTTCATTAGCTGCTGCTATTACTCTGAGCGCAGGCCTGTTTCAGGGACTGCCACATTCCACCTCTGCGTCTGCGTCGCGCTGCTGACAGGAATGACACAGGCGCAGCCCTTCCCCACAGACCCGGGCTGACGCCCTCCAGGAAAGGACCGCCCAACTCCACAGCCACTTCACAATGTGTCCCGCTCTACAACCCCAGAGTGACCAGCGGCTTCCAGGAGCCAGGTAACAGTGGTGTAACCCACCTTCCAGCTTCTTCACCTTCGCTTCCAGTTTCTTCTTTCTAATAACAGAAGTATGTAAGTTAAACAGCAGAACAGTGCAACATAAAGAAATAATTCAGGAGGCCAATTTTAATTCCTGAGAGCTGTGTAACAGAAACTTTCAGTCAAAACTAGCATCACATGTCAAGAACTAAAACTACCAGCCATTGTTCTGACGGTCGACCAAATCTAAGAACTCCACCATTGAATGTGTAGTATTTCTGAAATGGATTTATAGAAACCTGTCCTTTCCATATGAGAAACAAGCTATGGGCCAATGCACGAGCACATCTGGGCCCAGCTGCAAAAGGCAGTGACACCTCCCAGCCTATTACAAGCCCAGCCGCGTCCACATGGACTCCGAGGGTCAGCCCAGAAGCTCTTCAGCAGTGTCACTTTTCAGCAGTGTGTCGGGGGTGAGTGTGCACAGCACCACCTTGCGGGAGGCAGCAGCTGAGAGGCCAGGGCTTTAACAGGGATTTCTGAGTCCACGAAGGCAGGTACCGCACTGAGAAACTGTCTCCTGCCTCACACCCACATGTAACTACTGTGTGTGCAGTGCTCGCATTCTGAGTGTATCTGCTTGCTAAATAACATGAATACGGTATCAGTCTCAAAATAATCAACAGATTGCCTTTAACACCCCTTTTACTTAACAGTAGGAACAACACCCATCCCATCTGGTATGTGTTAAAATGTTAGCACGAAGAAAGGAACTCACATCTATTTTTCTATCCAGACACACGTGCATGCACGCACACATCCGAACTTGAAGGGTGTCTTTGAAGTCCTTCACCTTATAATAACTTTGTAGTCCTTATAGTCGCTCAGAGTAGGTATACTTCCCATTTTATACAGGTGGAAATCAAGACTGACAGACTAACTCAAGATTGTAGTTTATTATAGCCAACAAATCCAGACAGAAGAGAAACACAATTAAATGACGGACTATCTAGTCTTGAAGACAAAAACTCCAATTCTACAGCAATTTCAAAATTACTTACTGTGCGTCACTTTTCAAGCATTCTTCCTTTACACGAGCATATTCCTGGTGAGTATCTTGATACAACTTTAGAGAACTCTAAACAAGAAACATAAACATTGCCTGTTATGGTTTGTGTCTGGGTGTCCCCCTAAAGCCTCATGCAGTCTTGAGGCGGGCTTCTAGAGTTTATGATTGGTCCATGGTCCAATGCTGGGATTATGGGTGGGAGAACTATACCTGCCCTGGGGTGGGCAGCTTGTACACAATATAAGGGAAGGGAAGAGGCTTGCTCTTCCAGCTGCCACTCCTCCCCTTTTGCTCTTGTTGCTTTTGCTGTCTCTCGCTACCATGAACTGTTGCCCTCTGTCATGTGCCACTCTGCCTTGGAGCCAGCCAAGTATGGACAGAAACCTCCACAGACCGTGAGCTAAATAAACCTTTCCTTCCTTAATTTTGGGTGTCAGGTATTTTGTCTCAGCAATGACAGTAAAGTAACCAAGACACTGCCCAAATGAAATTCACTGGCCACTGGCTGTAACTTATTTTGATCTTAATAGCTAAATTATTAAACTTTAATGGTATGAAATTAAGCAAATGAATATATAAATTGTGAGCTTTGCACAGTGGAAGTATCGTAGCCGATGAGGTTTATCTGAGGTGTGATTATTGCTAATTGAAAACTTTTCCCAACATAAATTGTGCAGGAAACCAGAAGAATATTCACTGAACACTGTAATGAGAATAACCAGTTTCTTAATGAATGTAGTTGATAGCACAATCAAACAAAAGCTACCTAATTTAATTTTCTTTTAAGATTACTATAAAGAATAAAATGAAATTTACATTAAAAAGCAAACTTAAGCATTTTAAACAAATTATTTTCTAGCAACTTGATTGTGAAAGTAAAATAGCCTCCTTGGTTTCATGTAAGGTCTTTCCCAAGGCTCCATGGTGGTGTAAAGAGCAACGCTCAGCAAAGCGAACACATCAGCCCACGGAAACAGCCCCTAGCCCAGCACTTAAATGCAAGAGCACGTGCAGAGTACTGGCAGACTCATTCTGCACCTCTCTGGATGTACGAAATCACAAGGATCAAACGTGATTACAGCCGGGTGTGGTGGCGCACGCCTGTAATGCCAGCACTCGGAAGGCTGAGGCAGGAGGATCGCTGTGAGTTTGAGACCAGCCTGGGCTACAAAGTGAGCGCAAGGCCAGCCTGAACTGCACAGCGAGACCCTGTCTCAAAAAGACAAACACACAAACAAACAAATGTGATTACAAAAAAAAATAAGAGATTTCAGAAAATGATGCACCCAAGCTGGCAGGGCTGTACCGGTAAAAGTGTCCCTGGACAAAGCCCCGACTGGTCACGAACTCCGAGCACAGATCTGCAGAGGCAGGAATCGCCAGACCAGAGGCCCCAAGGATCTCACTCAGCACTGGGCTGGCAGCCAGACACACACAACCACAGAAGCCAATTCCCTCCCACCCTCTGTGCCATGCACGGAGTCCCCAGCTCTAAGCTGGAAGTTTTGTATGTTATTTCACCCTTAAGGCAAGGGAAATGTGAAAAAGAATTAATGTAAGATACATACACCATAAAAATTCACTACTGATCCTTCCAAAAACATCATTTATAGCACAGTAATGAAGGGTTAATCGTAGCTGGAAGACTTCTCATCAGACAGTCCAGTGATCCCTCTGAACGTGAGAGTCCTGACTGCACCTGTCTTCTTTGTTAAGACATCCCTGGTCCCAGTGACAGTGACTGAGTCAATCCTAACTACTGACAATAAATTTTTGTATGAAAATGACTTTAGTTACCTTTTTCTCTTCTAGCTCTGCTTTTAAAGATCCCAATTCTTCCTGACATTTCTGCAGAGGAGAAATTTTTTGAAGCATCTGTTCCACTTGGTGATGTAGAGTGCTGTTCTCTCTGAAAACAGACAAGGCATTAATGGTATTATGCAAAATATCTGCAGTGAACTATTACATACACGTTCTCATAATCTGAGATTTCTAACTTAGAAGAAAATTTTTTAAAGAATCTCTTTTCAAATACGTTCCTTCTATTTATTGTTCCTTTTATTTATTATTTATATGTTCCTTCTATTTACTGTTAACATGTTTTTGATACTAGTAGACTATTTTTGACAAAAGTATATCGAAAAGCAACTTGAGAAATAAGTGGGACAGACTTCCAGCCTGCTAGGAAAGACGTTCAAGAACCGTGTGCCAAACCACCCGGCACTTCCAACCTTGAACTTATTTATTCAAACTAAGTGATATGCAATGTTGTGATTTGGTTTATAATCACATTTTGCCTTCTTATAAGAGAGAAATGCAATCAGAGCATGAAACATGCTAAAATTTTAATTGTGCCAACTTTAAACAGTTTAAAACGACACAGCATAAACAGTTGCAGGCAGTCTGATTCACGGAGGTATCAGTTGTGGGAGGGGCAGGAAGTTCTATCTAAAGGGCAATGCAGTCACTAAAAGTTACTGAAAAGTGAAACACCAGGCTGTAACTTAAGGCCTCCATAATAAATTCATCTGAATGATTTGATACGTAGGACAATGCTAATCTCCTTTTACTATGAGCATCAAAGCAACATGCTCTATTAAGAGTCAGCCCTCGGTCTTCTTTGTTAGAATCTGCTGAAGTATCTGGTGCGAGGCATCCACCCAGAATCAAGTACTGCAACACATCATCTCATCAGCTGAGAGAACACATGGGTTGGCTCACCTTCTTGCAAACTGCAGCTGTGAAACTTATTAAGGAAAACAATGAAAACTCAATCTTGTGATACTTGTCTGGAGATAAAGTTCACTTTATAATTATCTTTAAGATTCCACGCACAATGTACACACAGGCAAGATCGTAAATCCTAGAAAACAATATTCATGGTCCCATCTAAAACATAGTGATAATTCATCTTACTGAGTTATTCCTATTTACTGTTATATAAACCAAAGTCAAAATATCTATTCAAAAAGCCGAGAGAATAAATTAAATAAATTATTAAATATAAATTAAATAAATTTCTACCTTTAAAGCAAGAACACTACCTATCTATTTTTACCTCCACTAGACCAGACTGGAATTTGATGGATTAAAATTACAAGAATAAAGACAAAGCAATATGTAACTAATAAAAAAAACCTTCATCTCTGTTTATTTCAGAATCTCCAAACTGTCCTGCATTTCGCAAATCTCCAGAGGATAATTCCAGCAGATAAGAGTTATCTGTATACATACAGAACCCATATGTGACTACATATGATGTAATTAGAAAAGAAGTGAAGAATAAAAGAATTACAAAAACCAGTATTGTTATACTTTATACAATTTGATGACCTCACTGTCCCACCTCATTCTATCAGGAAAATATCTAAAGACAGTAAAAAATAATTCCTTTAAGCTTCATTTCCTAGAAACTCCTACATTTACATCATAGTACAGTACATACATGTTTGTAAACACCTGGCTGCAGCTTCTGCTGTTACAATGTAAGCTCAAAGTCAAGAAGTATATTTTATTCTTCCTAAATTACAGTAGTCTTTACAGCATACAAGTTCAAATAAATATCTCATAAGCAGTATTCCCTACCCTTTAGAAAGACATGACAAATAAACAAGATAGTGAGCAGACTTTAAAAGGAACTGAAATAATGCTGAATTGTTACTGTGCAGTTCTTGAGGAAATAATTTTCTCATCTTAAAAAAAAAACCACAAAAATCTATTGCCATTTTAATATTAAAAAGAACCAAATTATATAAGGAAGTCATATTAAATCTGTGACACTAGCACCTCAAGTTCTAGTGCAAATGTATTTTTGAGGTGTAATAAATATGTATTTGTAACAAATGGCAAATGTACTTTAAAAAAATACGTATTTATCTGTGGCTGGGGCCAAATATCACATCACAGAACAAAATTATGGACTTCAAGAATAAATGAAAGTTTTATCTGTTCAAAAGAATTGTGGTAATTTTTACTTGAAGATTTTTGCAGACGAATTTTAGAAGCATAAGCCACTAACTTTCTTGCTAGATTAAATGTGTAATTACCTCACAACATTCACACCATTTTCCCAAAAGGCATATAATGAACACACACTCACCCAATACTGAACTGTTTTCCTATTTAACCACCTAAAAGTGCTTGTAATAATTGTTTCCATACAGATTTACAATCAATTAAAATATAATACCCTTGTAATGACAGGCACTTATATTTAAATGAGTTAATAGTCTCCAAAATCACATGGAAAAATTCCAATGACCTCTACTTTTTAATATAAAAGTTCGTATACCAAAAATAAAACTACACCCTGAAGTCTGGATTTTACTACTCGAATGCCAGAAATGCTATTGCAACAGGCTGTCTGCCTCAGTACTTGGGACTGGACTGCGGAAGGAAGAGCCACCCTGAGCTGGAAACACAGCTGACTTCCACCCACCTCTCTAGGTTTGCGCACTTACTTTGTGCGAGAAAGTTTACACTTTGATGGGAGAGACTCAGAGTAAGCAAGCGTTACCGCCAGAAGATCCAGAGGGATCAACTACATCCCTCTGTCTCGTGGCTAAGAAAGTTTTCAACCAAGCCCGCTTCACTATGGGTGCCCGCTCAACGCTTACCGGGCAAACGCTCACTCTAGCCTGAGAAGTCTCCTCGGGCTCTTCCAGATCTGGCTTGGGACTACACAATTACACTGCTCGCTAAGGTTTGGGGTGTATACACTACTTCTCTGCAAATACAGTAATTAAGAAGTCCATCTGCCCACATTTTCGAAGCTCTCATACTGCATTTCTTGCAGTTCAAAAATAATACTGAGAAAGTGCTATTCCAGTTATGCTATCCCAAGCGAAAGGACACACCCTGAGATGCCACATCCTCAGTACAAATGGGAAAACCTCTCTTTACAGAGCTGAGAAAATCTTAAGGAAACCAGAAGCAGTGCCAGAAACAAACTGACCGCGAGATCTCCCCGCTCATCACTCGGCACTACTGACAGAGACGGAGCTCCTGAGAGGTCCTCCCTCCTCCAGGACCCACGAACAGCGCCTTCCAAAGGACGGCTCTGAAAAATCTCTCACACTGCACACGTATCTTTCAGGCACTACACGCAATCCCCAAATTCGAAAGAATTCAAAACTCAAAAGTAAAAGGATATCATCGCATTTCTTCTGATATTCTGTCAACAAATTGCTGAAATAAAGAAAAGAAGTTATTTTTTAATGTAGAAAATACATTATTGTAAAAATCATGTTTCAAATCATACAGCTTCTCTTCCTACATTTCCAACAACAAATGTATGCTAAATTAATATATATAGTCTTAAATTCTTCCAAGCATTGCACTGATACATGAGCTTTTTAGATGAAAATCCTTTTTAATCTAAGTAGCATCTTAGCCTATAAATTCATAAACCCTTTACAAATAATTAAGTTTCATACTGTGGCTACAAATACTGTGAGAAAATCTAACAACCACTGTAAAGGGAAGAAGATACTCAAGACAGAAAACAGCTTTAAGGAAAATTCCAATGCGGTAATGTCCCACTGACCCCCGATTTCTATTTTGAAGGCTGTGAGCCACTCATCAAAGGTTCAGGTTGCTGATAGGACCCACAAGAGTTCATCGTATTCAGTACCATGAGTCAGTCCAACTCGGGGGGCTTTCAACCACAACCTGCTTCAGCCAGTTCATCAGGTTAACAAAATTCTGCCAAATGTGTGCAATTATACTTACTCGGTATTGATAATTTTTTGTTTCAAGGTAATTAATGCTTCAACATATTCATTTAAATTCTGAAAGAAAAAGGTACAGATTTACATTTTAACTACTTTAAATAAATGTCATTATTTTTTGTTATGCTTATTATAAACTCTAGTTTAATACATTAAAACATAGAAATCTGTAAGTCTGTAATTTATATTGTATGTAAACACACACACACACACACATACACACATACACACACCCCTCCAGCCCACGTTCTTCCCCTGAACCACTTTATGGGAATGCTTTTGTGGCATGCACTAACCCAGAGTCTAATAAATATTAACTATTTTGGTCACTATTAACCACCTGCATTGTTTTTGAAAGGAGTTAAGAATACTCAGAAAGCTATCAAATATTAACAAACAGAAAAATAGTAAAAAGTAACACAAAGTGAAGCAAAGCAGACTATTACAATGAGACTATTACAATGAGTGAAAAATGCACTTTATAAGGATCTGCATTATACTGTAGGGAGCAATCACAATTTTGGCCCTAAATTACTACTATCAACTTAAAAAGGAAAATATTATTATTACACTATTCAAATGCTCCTGAGATTTAAAAACAAACTAATTTTTTAAACTGATTCTTTTCTTTAATGTCTCCCTTACGGAGTTATAAACATAACCACACTGATTTTCTCACATTAAATACATAATATCATCCAGACTGTTCAATTTTCACTGAGTATCTCACAATTCTTTTTCTAAATAACCCAAGTGATCTGGATAGTGCAGTATTTTCACCTATACTAATGCAACAGTGCATTTTCTTTACAGTTATACTAACACATCTTAAAACAAAAAATCCTCATGTTAAGATCTATAAAGCAAAAAGTATGGGTTCTCTTGTAATCCTACCACCTGAGAAAATTTCTTTAAAATTCCCGTAACACTTCTGAGTGGTTACAGCACACGGACACACACGGAGACGTAACCAATACACCACTGTCTACCGAACTTAGCACTTCTCAGTGTTTCCTAACAGAATGCGCTGCATTTTCTGGCCCATGCCTTTAGGAAGTTCCTCTAGCTTCCCTGAGGATGAAGTCCAAACCAGGCACGGCGGGAATAGACTATGTATTTATAAAACATTGCATGCCAAGCCTGAACAGCTGGCCACCACCCAGAGCTCACCCATTCGCGCCCAGAGCTCCTGTGAGCTCCCTCACTAGCTCTCCATGTGAGTGACCACTGCGATCGTGCAGGCGTTGTCCATGGAATTCATTAATGGCATCCAGAAATTGTCCGAACGACTTCTGGGCATTCATTATTTTTCTGTTACTAATAGTCTGTTAATGTATTTGTTCACTGGTGTGTCTGCACTTTTCTTATAAGCTGTGATATTTGACAGACAGCAACCTCCCATCAAATGTATGAATATAAATATGTATATTTGCCAACTGATCATTAAAATATACCTACATACACTGCTCTCAAGGCTGAGAGGGGAGGATTGCCAGTTTGAAGCCGGCCTAGGCAACTCAGAGAGATCCTGTTTCAAAATAAAAAGTAAAGGTGAGCTGGGGATTAGCTCAGGATGAAGGCCCTGGGTTCAACCTCCAGTACGTTAAAAATAAATAAATAAATATATACACATATATATGCACACATATACACACACATATATCCCCAGAAATGTATACACCTTTTTAATATTCATATACCTGAGAATGTCTTTTTTGTTAAACCTTTGTTTCCTGACATCATACATAGAAGGTTCCACCCAACTCAAAATGATAACTCCTCTGTATGTTATTCTAGTACTTTTATGATTTTTCTTGTACTTATACCTGTAATTCTTCTCAAATTTATGTAGAGTCTAGTGTAAGACTCTACAAAAATAAATCAAAAAGGTATTAGACAGACTTAGTGTTTTCATCTTTCTACCTTTAAAGCAAATCTTTCATTACACCCCAAATAAATTGTACATAGACTATAGCAGTAAACAAGATTTTAATGCCATCTGCCAAAATACAGAGTAAAAGCTCCACAATTTCAAGGTAGACAAAGATTTTTAAAATTATAGACTGAAGCACAAATTTGTTCCTGTATTTCACAACGTAACAACTTTACAGTCCTGTGTGGCACTGAACACTATATATCTACTTTTACCTCCACTAGACCAGACTGGAATAAAAGTACCGGTAAGGATGTGGGAAAAAGAAAACTCAGACTAAAGGCAGGAGTGGCTGAAAAGCATTTTGGCAACAAAATAAAATCAAAATACATAATGATCATTTTGTCTATTTCCAGCATTATGCCCTAGTTCTCTCTGCGCCCCTTTTCGACATCTCTAGTCTAGGTGTTCTTCCAAAATAATTTGTTTCTATCTCCGGCACGAATGCTATCTTTCTGTTACTGTTTCTGTCACATTTCCTACTTGGCTCTTATACAGATATGCAGGAATATTATCTTGTTTATTGATTATATTGGATCTGCTCATTTTAAAACATCACTTGTGAATATGTGTTCATACATATAGATATGTATGCATATATGTCTATATCTATAGGTATTTTTTAAAACACCGACTGGATTCAATTTGTGAAAAAGGGTTTCCAGAGTAAATCATGCAGTGTTAAGTCATCTGCAGATCTTCCTGGATGTGCATGAACACGTAACATCCACCAACAGCGACGGTTTTACCCTTCCCCTACTCATGCTTCCATTTCATCCGTTTGCCCTGGTCTTCCTGAACTAATGCCTCAGCACAATATTGAAGCAGGAGTGCTAACAGACAACCCTGTCTAAATTTGAATTGACAGCATCTGCTCTACAAGAGTACAGGTTCTTAGCCGACATCCTTTGATCAAGTCATAAAATTTCTATCCACAGCCTGCTAAAAGATTTCATCATGTAAGAATACGAAACTTCACCACATAAATTTATGCATCTATTTTCACATGACCTGATAGGACTATAATTTGTATGTCACTGACAGGTGGTTGTAAATTCATGACTGTCCCAGTAGATGGCTTGTATCATTTCTCAGGGCTCTCTGATTACAATAATGCAAAAAAAGACATTGATTTAGCAGGCCAGATGTGATCATATTACAGTTTAAGGAAAATATTAAAATGATATAAAAAATTGTAACACAGATAATATGTGGTACAATTGTAAATGCATATTATATATACCAGCAATGGCATATTTCTAAGATTTCCATGTTAAAATTTACAGAATTAATTATTTATGAATTACTCATAAGTAAAAATTTATTTTTTTATTTTAAAGAGTAAAAATAATAAAAAAAACATTAGAAACAATACAGAATTTTAAAGAACAAGACAATATGAATTCTACAATTGTTACATTGCATATTGTTGTCTTCAAAGAAGTTGTTCAGATTACCAGATATAAGCATGCAAAGAAAAAAAAATTAAGCCTTAACTGTTCCTTTCAACAAACCAACAGAAACCAGCAGTACAATTATCTTAGCTATCTCATGTATGTATGTGTGTATATGTGTATATGTATATATATATGTATATATATAAGACCACAGGGGAGAAAGTGACAATATGTGTATCTATGTATATTTTCCCTTTTCTTTCTTTTCTCCTTTCCCTCATCCCAGTTGTTCTTTCCTTTTGAGCAGTTTCTTTACCTTTCACAATATCTATCGTATCTTTCAGATTTTATTTACTCTGTCAGGTTCTTACACTAGGGAGACAGCAGAAATTTATTTTAATTTTTTGATTATTGTAATAATTTTTAATTGGTCTGAACAGTATTAATATTTACATTTGGGCAGTAGTTATTCAAAGTCAAGCAACTAAACTCAATCTATTTATAGATGTTTTCATTAACTTCATTAGTAAAAAGCCCAATAAATGTGATTAGATCCTTTCGTACCGCCAGTAGTACAAGCTGCCGGATGGTTCAGTCATGCACATACCCTTAGTGGTTCAAGCCGATGGGAACATATTAATGTGTTTTTCTCTCCCTTTTACTTATTAGTGCATTAGGTTACAAGGATTTTCTAATGTTGAAGCAGCCTCCCATTCCCGATATAAAAGCAAATGAATCTGTATTAATTCTATTTAAACACCAATTGGATCCAATTTGTCAATATGGAACTGAGGCTGTCTTCTTCATCTGTGTTCCTAAGCGATATGCCTATACATTTTCGCACCGCATCCCGCATTCTCAATGTTACATGATTCATAAAATTAGACAGCTTTTCCTTATTCAAAATGCGTGAGGAGACACTTCGAGTAACCATGGACACTTTGAGTAACAGTTTTCTAGACAGAGAACCGCTGGGTCACCATTAGCTATGGGTTGAAGAGTACCCCATTCCCAAACTGCATGCTGAGTCCTAGCAGCCACCCCCTCCCACCTCAGAATAACCTGATTTGGAAGTAGAGTCGTAGCAGGTATGACCAGGTCAAAATGAAGTCACACAGGATTCTGGTGGGCCCTATTTCAGATTTCTGGGGAGAAAGTATAGATACAGCACCTGCCTTTATTCTCTCCCTAAAGTCTGTTAAAACTAAAATTGAAAGAATTCTTTTCTCATTCTCCAAAACTGGCAAGATTGAGAAAAGAGGACAGAAGACAAACGCAAAATGGAAAACAGGTTTTCCTCTGCTCAGCCTGCAGTTCATATATCAGGACCTCAGTATGAACAATAGAGGAGTTTCAAAAACACAAGCTTGTAATGTGAAAGAGGGGACCAGAACAAGCAAGAGCAACCCGAACTAAAATCTGAAGAAAACCTCAAAGGTACTTATAAATGTAATATACAATAAATGATGTTCTGTCCACGAAACCAGAAGCTATTTTTAAGAGGGGCACTGAGGACTCTGAAATTGGAGGACAAAATACTCTTAATTAAATCCATGAACACTCATTAGGATGGCTAAAATAGAAAGATGGGCAATAATAAGTATTGGTGAGGATGTGAAAAAACTGGAACTTTATGTTCTGCTGGTGGGAATATAAAATGGTGCAGCTACTACAGACACTAGTTTGGCAGTTCCTCAAAACATTAAACAGAGTTACCCATGATCAAACAG